CTATATAATCATTAGGTATTTTTTTTGAAAGCAGGAGAGATGAAAAATTAGCAACGCCCTCCCCAGGAATCGAACCACGGGCCTCTAGAATACGGGCCCAGCGCGCAGACCATCATACCACGGAGGCATGCCAAGAAGTTGGGAGAAATACCTTATATACTTTCCCTTTTAAAGGGCGACTGAGGTTTTTTTTAGGGGACCCAATCGCCAAATCCTGGGTGTAGAGAATCATCATCTACAACTCTTTTAGTTCGGGCGCCACTGTAGAGACATTAAGTATTTTCTCGAAAGAAGGAGAGATGAAAAATTATCAACGCCCTCGCCGGGAATCGAACCACGGACCTTTGGAATACGCACTCAGCGTGCAGACCACCACACCAAGAAGGCATGCCAAGAAGGCGGGAGAAATACCTTATAGCAGTAAGTTGTGTTGCGCGGTTCCGCGGGGTTTGTTATTGCGCCATGTTGTCGAATCCCTGAATCTTTCGATGTTTTGATTATACGCATATATTTTGTATTTTGTTTGAAAATCTACACTAGTATATGCATGCCTTTTTGCCTCATTTTAAATTCTAGAATGTCATATTTGTCTCCCATTTAGAGGTGTATTTAATTAGAAAATCTAAAAATAAATGTACTACCTGCAACAATATACATAATATTTTTTAAAAAAGAAGAAAAATTCTTGCTGCAAAATGTACATCTAAAAGCAAAATTTACGAGCGTAGCAAATTAAAAACTTATTCCTGAATAAACAAGAGGCTTACATAAACCTCTACTCTTATTTGTCCAAACAAAGACTTTACGTCACCTAACTTCTGTAAAAACCAAGCGGATGAGAAAAGTTGATAAGAAGAACGATTTCTCACGTGTTTTTACAAATTTTTCATTTGTAATGTTGTACAGACTAAATTTTCCCATTATTCTAGATAATAACCTTCCTGTGACATTTAAATTAATGAGATACTACTAATTGAGTGGTTGCGAAATATTTAACTTTGGTCCGGAACAAGAAGTGTGTCCTCGTTCTTGAATCGTGAACTCTGTGCTGGTCAGAGAGCAAGCTAAGGAGTCAAATATTAATTGGCTTGCATTACCTTTGCGTTATGTAATAATACAAAATATTTTCTCGACGTAACCATAGCGAGTGCGTATTAAGTATCATATGCAAGAGATCAGATCTTTAACAATTCGGTGACATTTGTGGAAGATGGTAAGATTACTGAGAAATGTTTTGCTCTGGGAGTGAATGAAGGAGCAATAAAAAATTTCTAGTTTGATTTCTATTGTTTTTAATAGCAATTTAACTCCAATTTTTTAATGTCGCATGAATAATTCTAGACCGAAATCTTCAAATCGTTTGATTATGTGCTAAAACACCACTTAATTTAATTTCGTTTAAATCAGTGGCCGTTGACTCAGGCAATCCATAAATCTATAAATATGGTTTTGGATGGGGGAGAAAAACCTTATCATTTTCGGCAAACTAGATGTTACAAAATCGTTGAAAATATATCACTACTATTTTCTCTTTATGAGGAAAATTTAAAAAAAATATTATTTTTACGGATGGAGAATTCAAATTTTCAATTCCCACGAATCTTGAAAAATGCTGGAAATCGAAGAACTCGAATCTTCGCCCGTTTTTCATCATTCGAATCTTTTGAATTATAATCTAAGAAATATTGAATGTTTTAATTTAACTCAGAGTTTTGGTAAAATTAGTTTCGCTGATTTCCTTACCACATAAAACAATAGACTGACCCTGAGATGTAAAAATGAGCACTTCAAGTGCAGTAACTGCCTATCAGATCATCCGGAATCGTATCGCGGATGCCACTAACTCTTAAACAAAAATGCCAAATAGCAATAATTTAATCAAAACGGGTTCCGACTATTCAAAAGCATTTAAATTGCTGATGCCCAGTCCCACTCAAACGATACTATACTTGGAAACAGTAACAAATCAACCCCTATCAGAACCACTGGTTCAGCAGAAATCAATAATTACAAAAATCCTCAGAACATTTGAAATAGCAAAAACCCACACAACAGAATTTATGGTATTCTTTACTTACATCTAGAAAATTAACAACAATCTAGGCATAGGCGAAATTACAATCCTCAATAAGATCCTCAGAAAATACCCTCCTAAATTTAGGAGTTGTGAAAACTCAATAGACAAAATGCATACATTTTCGAGATCGCTTTTGAAGTCAACGAAATCACTATAATTAATTTAATTTAGTAGTAACAACTTAATCACTTGTTTAATGTATTCAGTTTCTTCCCGTCTTACTAATTATCTCTTAGATAAACTGCTTTAAAATTTTTTTTTTAAACATTTGTTCACCTTTACTACATTTCCACTGCCGACCAACCGGTATAGTGGTTAACCATGCCAAAAGGCCTAGATTTGAATCCCGGAGAAGGCATGGATGTTTGTAAATGTATAGTGTCCGTGCGGCATGGGGGACACTCTAAATATACGGCGAACTACCTCTCCTTTCGAGAGGTTGTGGTAGGAAAAAAGGTCTTCGGTCTCGTCCCCCCGGGCTGCTCTCCATCAAAATTAGGGGCGGAACTGAGCTAAATCACACTGTCACCTATAAGGTGTCTGTTGCCAACGACAGGTGTATCTTGCGCTCCTTGCCACGAAGAATTTCGTGGGCTTGTGCTGACTCAGACAAGTGAGCATTAGTGAGCACAAGCAGCAACAACATTCCCACTTTCCCTTTTCCTTTCGGCAGTTTTTTTTTTTCGTGGGTTTGTGCTGACTCAGACAAGTGAGCATTAGTGAGCACAAGCAGCAACAACATTTCCACTTTCCCCCTCCCCTTTCCTTTCGGCAGTTTTTTTTTTCGTGGGCTTGTGCTGACTCAGACAAGTGAGCATTAGTGAGCACAAGCAGCAACAACATTTCCACTTTCCCCCTCTCCTTTCCTTTCGGCAGTTTTTTTTTTTTTTTTTTTTCGTGGGCTTGTGCTGACTCAGACAAGTGAGCATTAGTGAGCACAAGCAGCAACAACATTTCCACTTTCCCCCTCCCCTTTCCTTTCGGCAGTTTTTTTTTTTCCCAAAATCATATGGTTATTTGGAGTTATTGAGGAATCCTTCTCGTCTTTCCTCACCCAAGGCTTCGTGTTTCACTGCTCTTACTCTTATGTCTACCTCCAAGTTTCCAAGGTTCACATGACCAGATGCAGAGAGAATTTATCGGTCCATGTTTAATATTTATCTATGTTAATTCTTGAAATAATTTTCCTCCTCTCTTTTCTACTTACTTTGATCTAAAACGATTTTGAAAAATGTAAAAAATCGCGATATTGTTAGCCAAATATATCGAAGAAATTAACTTTGAAGATTCTAGACTTTTAATTACGCATTTCGTTTACGAAATTTCATTTCTATATTCTTAACAAATGTAAATGCAGTCATAGGGATATCAGGACATCAGGTTTTATTTTTGAAAACAAGAAACACATAAAGTCAACAATGCTTTCGCCGGAATTCGAACCGCACTTTATGACTACCGGCTGGATTGTACGTAAGAAATTTTCATCTTCTAATTAAATGCAAGTATTTTAAAATTAAGCAAAACAGCCTTATTTCGGTGTAGATTTTACATAGAATATCGTTTTTGAAGGCTATGAGACCAGCTTCATCGTCTTCAAGAGTAAAAATATTTTCGGAGGGAAAACAAAACGTTTTTAGTTCCTGAAGAAATGATACCCGTGTCTGATTGCCTTCGAAATGTATTTTTTTCTTATGAGTACAATATTTTCCGAAATATAAGTATAAAGGACAAGGAACCGTATAAAAAGTTAGATTTTTGTAATTAAAATATTGTTTTCTTATAATTTAAATTCTTCTTAATTCGTCCAAACATGAATAATTGCGTCATTTAAGACTTTTTTTTTAAGCAGAAAATATATGTTTCTGTCCAACGGTTAAAACTAAAGGTCATCTAAGAAGCTTTGTGAACAAAATGTAATGAGGACTCAAATCGAAAGTAACAGCTGGATTTAAATGAATGAAATTTATCGTAGTGGAATTAAAAGTACAAAAAAAAAAAAAAAAAAAAAAAAAAAAAAAAAAAGGTAATTTCATGTTGTTTCACGATTCTTTCTCAAAAGAATAGCAAATAGTCTTTAACGCTACAGCTGAAGTAATACCATCTGTCATTAATGTTGATATAATTGGAAATGCTAAAACTTTAAAGAATACTCATCGATTCTCAACATAAAGCAGATACTGTTTTATGCTGAGATACTGTTTTCTTGCTGTGAAACACTCTGCGAAACTGAGCAAATGCAATCGACTCATCACATTTCAACTTGAAAAAACGCTTATGTCAAATTATTTCTTGTAATAGTGTATTTTTTATTAGAAATCATAAACTTAATAAGATTCAAATTTTCATAATTTTAACATTTGGCTAAGCCCTCTAATACAGTATTAACCCTCTGAGCGGCACATGATTTTAGATCCGTCATAAAAACCGGTATTTAAACAGCATTTACTAATTGAGTTAATTGAGTTTTATTAATTGAGTTTGTATAATTACTTATTTAAGTCTGTATTTTCATAAATTTACATTGATTAAGATGATATTTACATTATTAAAGAAAGTAAGAAAGTAAAATATCTTAAATTATAAGCTAATATATGTCAAGTAGCAAAACTTCTGATGACCGAATAAAGCCAGTCATAACGCTCAGAGGGAAAACGTTTTCGTCTATTGATAGCGTGAGTGGAAAACCTACTGAAATTTAGTAAGCTTGAAAAGATCAGAGTGCCATTTCGCCTTTGTCTTTAACCTTATAAGCAGATATCGACATTTACTGTATCTGACAACAACGTTACTTATATTCTCAATTATCCGATGCCTGAATTATAGATACATAAAGAATCGAAATGAAAGGGAGGTAAATAGTAATAGTACAGCATCTTATGCCAAATATTTACATAATTTACATTAAACAACATTATTTACTTACACCGTCGTAAATTTCAGACACTTTCCACTCCTCTAATAGCTCATTCGGATAACCAATATATGTAGCCATACTTTCTGCCTAATAAAGAAGAACATATGAAATACGAGCGACAAATTCAAATATCAGGTATTAAATTTTTATTTAAAAATAAAGAATTAAATAAACAATATTCATTTTCCCAAAGAAATAATAATTACATGTATACAGAGTGTTCAAAAAAGATTATTACTATGGGCTTTAATTATTTAAACGTATATTTCAGACATATGCTCCCAGTTACAAAATTTCTCAAAATCGGAAAAGAATTTTATCAAAATATTTTCATTTCTACAAATAGAACGGTCTTACAGAAGCGTAGTTTAATTTTTCATACGGTTCGCATAAAGAAAAACTGCCCAATATTAAAATGCTCAGTATATTTTAATATGTTAAAAAATTCTAATACTTGTATACAAAGTTACTATATACAAAGTTACTGCGATATGGGGAATTGATTTTACTAACTTATTCGGCATTTTAACATACACCACCGAGCAAAACTAATTATGTTTCTTTTAGATTTAAGAAGGAACTACAAGATATAAGTTGCTCGTTTTGGAAACTAATAGTTCTGCGGAGTGTCTCGTGGTGTCACCTCTTAGTGAGGTTGGTAAATGCTCTCTCAGTCTGATCTTGAGTCAGGAGTGATCTTGAGTCTGATCAGGAGTGATCTTGAGTCTCGAACAGAGGCGTGCGGAGTAGAAACTAAAAATCGTACCATCAAGGTTAAGTCATATCTAAATTTAGGCTTTTGCTTCCTGCATCAAAATATGTTTACTGATACAAGCACTGATTCGTTACAGAGCCACTCCATCTATACACTGCGCAAAACAGTCCTCGATACTAATTTCCCATATAACCCCATGATATCTTTTTTTCAGAAATCACTTGGCCAAACAGTATAACTGAATGAAGCTTTTGAGATATTTTTATTGCAGAAAGCATATTCCTTGCATAGCAGCACATCATCTGTTAAATTCTCATCTAAGCAGGTGGCTTTTTATAAACACAAAAAAGAAGAAACATTTCTAATTGCTTTTAATCAAGTTACCTACAGTCATTTATGCCCTTTTTTATTCTTAATGCTAACCTAAAAATTGCGAAAGACAGAACCAAATAACAAACCTTAAATGCCTACTTTAATGTTACACAAGCGCTATCAGGACTTTCAGGTAAATCACAAATAAACACTATGTATAAATCATTTATCTTTAAGACAATAATTGAAAATATTTACTGAGGCGCATAAATGCTATACTCTTCTTCAATATTTACTCGTAGCTGTTCCTTTCATGCAAATTCGTGTATTAAAGTAATAAAAATATAGGCTTTATTAACTATATTTTATGAAAAATATATTTTATTTTTCTAGGTTATGAAAATAAAAATTATGTACCAATGGTTTCTATACTAAGCCTTTGAATTCTCATAACATTTAATTACTCATAACCTCAAAATTTTGGCTACATGTTCACGTAAATAAGAGAGATTTCTCTTTAATTTTGAGCTATCTCTGTTAGTCTTACTCTTATGAAGTGAAAAAATACAGGAAAGTTTATTTTTAGAATTTAGAAATGCGGAAATTATGCATCCATAATTAGGTTCATGTTTAGGTAGTTATTTTAACCAATATATGTCACTTATAGGAATCTATTTATTCATTTAGATAATTATAGTTATTTTAATATAACAAATGATTATTATGACAGCAATTATAAAAGTTATCAGACTTATCAAATTACTTTTTCCTTTGCCCTTTGTTTCGTTTGCTCGTCCATCCAATCTACTTTAGCTAAAATGTCAAGAAACTCTCTATGTATGTAATTCACCATCTCCAGAGCCTAAGAAACAAAAGAAATTCTGTAATAGAAGTGAGTTAATTGAACTAGATATTACAAAAATTAGTCAAATATTTCTTCATTGTTAAAAATATATATGTTACCGTGAAAGACCGAAATTGGAGAATGTCGACTTTCACCGGAGAATGTCAACATTCACCAAATACGTCGGTGAAAGATCGAATATTTCTTTATATTCTTGTATATTCGGACTCTCACCGGTGTATGTCGACAATCACAGATATTCTCTGGTGTAGGTCGAAAAGAGAGGAGTATATGTACACGCTGTCATTACAAAAAGGAAGTGTTCCACAAATAAATGCAGTTGTAAAAGCAAGGGCCTCTTGTGCAATTCAAAGTGTCATAATAGTTTAAGTTGTTGCAATAAATAAGATTTGAATCACATAATTTAGTAAGTTTTTAACTTCTATTATTTTCGTTTCTCATTTTGAATGTACTGTGTGTTTCAAGTTCTTATGTTCTTAAATTCTTATTCTGAGTCTCAAGTGCGTTTTTTCGCGACTGAATTACGGAGAAGAAAATATAATATATATTCGACATTCACCATTAGTACATGGTGAATGTCGACATTAACCGGTGTAAGTCAGAAATAAGAGTATTTGGAAAATATTTCGGACAACACCAAGCGACTATGTGAATGTTGACATTCACCGGTGAAAGTCAACATTCTCCAGATTTTGGTGTTTCACCGTAACATATACATATATTCCAAACTTTCTAATACCACAATGTATATTACTCTTTTGATGCCGCAAATAAAAATGCATAAGGAGATTACATATGACGAGACTCAATGAAACAGAAATTATAATGAATGTAATTAATTATACGAGTATGCTGCAATCTCCCTGGTAGATAATAAACGGCTTCAGCACACTCAACACATATTAAAACAAATGTACAGTTAAAAACATCAAATCAAAATTCCGAATATTGTTCTACTGCCATCTTAAAATTCATTAAATCCTTTGAAAATCTAAACTCTTTCCTGCAGCAATAGAATTCCTTTATGTTACCTTGCTTTTCAATAACATGGCGCATCAATACGCAGTTCGACGAATGTCTTCAGCACTACAAAAATTACAAAGACCATTATTTTGCAAATTAAATCTTTTCAGGTACTCCGGGAAGCACCCGTGTCCAGTAATTATTTGATTGTAATCAAAATCACATATCACCGCCATATTTTTTGAAACTTCAATGCTCAATACATAATCTCTCCTTTTCCCTGAAATGTTCTATTTCTCTTTCCAGCAAACATAATGGAAATCCTTGATTTTGCGAATAAGAATTAATTTTTATTCCTGAATATCGAAAACATCCCAGGCATTACCCATAGTAGCTTCTTTGGCCAGTATGTCGGCCCTCTCAGTATGGGTTCCCATACTGGTGTTACAGGCAGTGAGAGGTTGAGAAAATACATACCATTTTATGTATTTTCACAACATTCACAAGGAGACTTTTTATACATGAGGTCAAAATAGTAGTGTAATCTTAATGCTAGTGCTTCCAAACCAGATAATGAGTGTATATATATTAATATATTTTTTTTTACAGTCACGTTTCCATCAGTCCATTTCAGATAATCATAGCAGATTCAAATATGATAGCAGCCAATTCGGCTTGAAAAGCTAAAAGTTCAAGATTAATCATAGATTATAATTAATATCAAGACTATAATAATTATGAGATTATAATGAACTGATTACTACGACAGTGATCTCAAACTCAGATTGCAAGCGGGCCGAATGCACGATCTGAAAACAGCTGATGGGCCAGAACCGTTTTTTAACAAAATTAAAATTTGTTATTAATAAAGCAAAACATAGTTTCAATAAATTTTAAATTTCGATTACGAAATATTTATCAAAACGTACATAATAATATCTCATAAGAAATACAATATCTCGAAATAAAAAAATTCAAGTTTATATTTATTTTGTATCTGAAATTTGAAGATAATTTCGTTGGTTGTACATGTAAGATAGTTTTGTTGGTTACCTTACGTTATTCAAATATACTGATAATTCAGTAATGGATTTTCAGACTAACATTTATTTAAAATAGTTCTAATGTATGTAATTAATGATTAAATAATTAATTTTAATTTTAATTTAAAATAAGTAAATTATGAAAACTGTTTAAGTTTTCAGACAAAATTTTCTTAGTGAGATGAAATTTGAAATAAATATTTTTTCTACAAGTATTTTTTCCCTTAGATTAACAAACAAAGCTTTAGACACTTCGAATTGCCGTTTGTAACATCTCGATTATTTAGTTATTAAAAAGGAACTTAGAACGTTGCTTTCTTCAATGATGCCACGGTTTGAGAAAATTTGTGCTTAGAAACGAGCCCAATATTCCGATTAAAATATTATTATGGTGTATTAATTATGTATTATAATTTTCATATTTTTGTAAGATCTGTTTTTATTATATTTAAAATTATTATTATTTATAATAAACACATATTTTTTATCTATACATTATATGGTTAATTATTTTGTAGCCTATTAAATAAATTACATTATCAGTCAGTATTTATGAAATTAGATCGTTGCGAAAATTGAGTGGGCGTAGCGATTTTTTTATAAAAAAAGAGTGGAGATACAGAAAGTTTGGAAACTACTGGTCTAAAAGAAGAATCAAGATTCATTTATCGGGAATACATCTAAGCTGCGTAGATCAACAACCAAATGGTACTAATTATCAAATAGAAACAGTCCTCAAGACCGATAAGGTTTTAAACAGATGGCGGCGCATCATCTATCACGTCGTCGCAATATCTATTGCAACATGTTTTCTGTTTGTTCTTTTACAGCGAAAGTGCCATCTGGCTCTAATAATATAGCAATTAAAAAAGTTCCTCAATAATACTCACGATTATCTATACTTTTGGGATAACCACTGTACTGAAAATTTCCCGAAATACACATTTTTTAACAATTTATTGATTTTGCAATCAGCATGAATTTTACTTAAATTCATTTTGGATACCGGAAATAAGTACTAAAGCCAGAAGATAAGATGGTCGATAAGTCTAAATCGATAACATGAGTTTAAAAGTGATTCGATAGCAAAGCATAACAAAATCTAGATAACTGAGAACAAAGAATAAGTATCACTTACCAGATCTTTGCTGGCGTCTGTGAAATGGTTTCTGACATACAGTGAAGCCAGAGCCGTGCTCAAACTTCCGGATAACGTCCCCAAGCAATGTTCCCATCGGGCCTCTTGGCGAACTTTTCCTGTAAGAATGGTACTGTAGTGCTGTGAAATTTCTCCCCAGGCGCGATGAAGTGTGGGAAAAGCCTGACCCACCACACGCCACATCAAATAGTTAGCTATAACCCTAGAAAAAATCGAAGATGTTAAGATGTGTGTTTCACAATTAGTTGATGTGTAAGATGGTAACAGAAAAGAAGACAGTCCATGTAAAACTGAGGCTAAGCAGCAGATTTTATTTTAACAGAAGTGATTTCAGCGATTAAAATACTGTCATCTTCTTTGGCTACAAATAAATCAAAGACAAGTATCATAAACAGAAAAAAGGATTGATGAAATTTACTGGTTAACTCACTGGTGACTCCGTTAACTCACTGGTAGCTAACAACTACGCCATCTTTATGAAGAGCAAAAAGAAGTACCGAAAAGAAAATATACCATCACTTGCCTTTTAGCTTGAAATTGCTATAAGTATCAAAACATGATTTAGGTTGTTTCATTTTTCATTCGATTCTGTTGCCATTAGGAAAAACGTAACATATTATTCTTCCATATTTAATCTGTCTGTTATTAATTAACAAACTACTATTAAAATGCAATAAATGCAGTTATTAAGAATATTATTATTTAATCTGATTAATATTGAATAAAAGTGCTTTTAATTCATCATATATCTAATTAAAAACATTAAATATTTTTTTTTTCACTTCTTAAACATGTAGAAGGTATATAACGTTCCCATGTTGTCTAAATGCATATTCATCTAACATCCCATAAACAGTTCCGTTATTCCATCTGGGCCAACTCTATTGATAAACCACATTAAACTTTAAAAAAGCCCTTATAAGCGATCGCTAATATCTGAACCCTTTCAGGATGTTTGGCTAGATGATACCTGGCACCACGTGCTTTTTCCTCTCCATCTCCGCTACCGTTTCGTTACATAAGTCGTCGTCATGCTTCTAGTGAGTTCTCGAATATGTCAGCCTCTTCTTCTGTTAGTTGCAATTGTTTTGTGACAGCAAAATAAGCTAAATTGCCTGTATCTAAACGTTATAAAAGTAGTCGAATATCAAAAGTAGCAGAGCATCGTTCTTGCAGTTTTAAGACAGCGTGAAAAAAGCACGAACATATTTATATGAATCAAAATTTAGAAACAGGGTATGAAAAAGAAGGAAACTGGTCTTGAATATGTTTAAACGGAGTTTCTTCGAGAAACCAGACATCCTAAACCTGAAGTTACTCGATATTGAAGATATCAAAATTAGTTATTCATCAATTAAGGAAGTCTGGTATTAAAAATTATGCTAAAAAGCAGGCTACAAAGGGGAAGAGAGGTGAAAAATTCCTAGTAGAAAAAAATTGCTTTAAAATGTATAAGCAAATGATTCCATTTGGAAGTGGGCGGAAAGTCATCACAGATCGTGAATCGTATTTAAGATCCTAATATGAGGGATGGTATAAAATATCAGCATTCAAAGTTTCCAAACTTTGTCCTATCTTCATTAAGATTAAGTTTAGAGAAAAATTCATAATAAAAGTAATGCATGCCTCGGGCATCGACGAAGAGAGATTGCTTCTAGATCAGTTTGTTTTTCAGGAAACTGTAAGTGGTTTAATTTACGTAATTGCTGAATTAGAGAAAGGCTGATGGTTTTTGTAAACATCGTCATCAAAATAAAGGTATTTTGTTTTGGTCAAATTTAGATACCAGCTAGAAGCTCAGTGAAACGGAGGCAAACTAACTTGGATGGTGGAGCGTGAAGATGATAATAAAATAGAGAAATTAAGTACTGTTCTGATGGAAAGAACTGCAAGTTTATTGTGCCAAATAAATTAATAATTTCAGTGAATCTTCGAAAGAAAATTGAAAGGAGCCACCTATGAGATCCTTTCACTGCAATACTTAGCTTTCAAAGGAATACATTAAGGTTTAACTGCTACACGTGAATGCGTACTTTTCTCTTTATTAACTTATATCTGGGATAGCCGACGTGGGACTTTGAAAAGTAAATATTTGAGTGTGTATGAGCATATCTTCAATGTTTATTAATTTTATCGTAACATAAATATGGACCGTAAGATCAGTAAACAAATGAATATACAAAAGTCGACCCCGGAAACGGATTTCAAACATGAATGTTATAAGGTATTTTATGTTAATTAACCCATCATTATGATTTAAATCTTTTATAATAATTTTTTCTTTACGTAGTTCTCATCAGAGTAAATGTTAGTTGTTTGAGTGTTTATTAAAGGGTTTTGAATGTTTTAATGCTAGAGCTTCCGTCAGTCTCACCTGCAAGTTACGTCCTCTCAATCAGCTCTGACAGAAATTGTTCCCGCTTTAGCCATTCTGCAAGCAACGTTAAACATGGGCCGTTGGAACATTTGAGCCGGCTTTAGTAGACCCATTGTGTATAGTCTCCGACTACATTGCTTAAATCTGAATTTTAACTTATATTATTTTAAATACTCATAAATGGCCGAGACTTTTGTACGCACAATCGGTGCTTTCTGTTTAATTTACAAGTTTAATAGAAAGGTTATTTTAGCCTTCTCGGGACTTAATCAATAATCATCTTAATTGAGACTGGAGCAATAGATCACTTGTCAGATTAGTAGTGTCTGAACACATTGATTTAAATTCTACACAGTTAAAACCCTGAAAAGTTACTATTAACTCTTTTAAAACAACCAAGGAACTGATTTTGTGCACAAATCCAGTAATGTGTCGTCCTGTGTACTATAGGATAGTGGTATAAAAATTTTGAGGCACTCTTAAAATCGATTAAAAAGACGCTTGAAAATTAGACCAGCTCAGTTTTGACCATTATTTGGATACTTAAGTTCAGTTTTTTAAGAAACAATAAAAATATGGATGATTCATTAGCTACACCAAAATGGAACTTACGCAGCAATTGAAATATGCACATCGAAAAAGAACTAATTTAATAATATTCTACCTTAACATTTAATTTGCATAAAGTGTTAGCTTTAAAAAATATCTCAGATTTATCTCACTCTTATCCGAGATGCTTTTTATATGTACTGGATTACTGTAAATCTATTTTTTCACTTTTATCATTTGCTTTAGAAAGATGTTCTTTTCTCAAGCTTTCTTGTTAGCAATAATAATTATAAAATATTGTATACATATAACGAAAAAAAAAAAAAAAAAAAACGTTAAAGTAAAGTGTTAATACAGTCATTGTCCGTGTTACTGATGTAAACTAATGGTCAAATTTACCCGCATTATGATGATGCTTTTTGATTATTCTTACTTGCTTTAAATTTATTTCTTCAGCACACTCTTTTATTAGGAAGGTCATCAGTTCCTATGAAAGATATAGTTTTCTTTCTTTCCAGCTTGTCTTTATTCATTTGCAGGATGATAATATCAATCAATCGTTTCCCCCTTTTATTACACAGAAATTACGTAAAATATTTTTCAAAGGATAGAATAATAATTGTCGACACAAAACAAGATTTCTCGAAATTTGAAAGAAAGTTATTTCTATTCACGAGAAAGATACATAAAGTACCACCTTTGCAATGAATAAAAAATAAGCTTTCTATTCACAAAAGTTACAATGTATAACCTCTCTGCATAAAAAGTTTCGCAGCAAAGTGCCTCAAAACAGGTTTTAATGCATTTCAAAAAAGCTTATTGTCCCAACAATACTTTTGCAACTACAGACGCAGCTGCCGTTTTTGCATGCTGTATTGAACCTTACCAGTAAAAGGGATTCTGATCAATATTTTTCTAACGGAGAAGAATCATTGTTTATTTTGAAAGATTAAAACGGGACATTATTATTGTTATTATTGCAGTTATTGTTTTCGAACTTAATTTGAGTTCCCTAATTTTCTCATTCTGATAGTTTTACAGATATACTATTTTCAAATAGTTTTTCTCTATTCTATACTATTTTCTAATATATTCTCTCAAATTTAGAATGCTCTTTTATTAGCTTACTCTCAAAGAATCTTTCGATTGTTGAATTAATAATACCTCTAAGAAATGAAAATGATAGCTTAATTGTGTTTGGAAATTTTGCTAAATAGAATTTAAAATAAAATTTAAAACAAAAATTATAATATAAAAAAATCTGAACGGTTTCAGATTTTAAATTACGTCCAAAGGGGCGTTTTTTTTAACATTTTGTCTGTTACCTTTATTTATTAAATATCATGTTCCTCGCACTTAAACCATAAAATTCAGTTCAAGAGCAATATCGTAAATAAATTTAAAATGAGCATATCTTTAGAATTTCCGATACACAGTCTCGCGAGCCGGAGATAAAAATGTTTTTTTTTTTTTCTGACAACGTTGATATTGCTCGCCTTGAAATTGTTAAATTTGTTAATCAAAAATTCGTTAAAGTTTTACAAAATATGAAATCGATAATAACACAGATTCCAAATCTCAAATGTGGGCTTTCAGATACCCATATTCGCAATAAGATTACGTCATTCAAGATTGGATGGCTCTAGGTACTGTTGTTTTATCACAATGCGAGAAACATACATACATTTATGCAGATTCTTCATTATTTAATTTCTTCAAATATAATACAGGGCGATAATATTTGGTGGCAACAGTTTGTAAAGTGAAACAGACATTCAGAGTGATTCGACGCAAAATGCCAAAACGAAATGAATAGTCCTTCTGCGAAAATTACTCCTTTGAACTAATAATTTTTTTAATAATTTAACAATATTTGTTTTACTAATTTAACATTTCTTTATTTATTTGGCTTTTAATTTTTTTTGCTTTTCCTTTTATTTAGACTTAACTTATTTAGACAAATCACAGCAGCTGAAGGTACTGGAGGTGAGTGCGAAGTTTTCATCCTTTCGAAAAATAGTTCAGAAATGATCGTCTGATCTTTTACAAAATGTTGCATCTGCATAGCTATGGACGGAACTGAAGAAGATATTAATGATGAAATGATAGACGATGCCATTCACTCGGATTTGCCTGTAGCAGACAGAGGCTTTCAAGAATTGCTAGAAAAATCCGAGTCGGCTACTTATGAGTTGATTAATGTATATTAGGATTAATAAAATAACTATAGCATTTTTCACTTAATTTCAATTATTTTAATTATTAATATTTTTAGGGATTAGTTTTTCGATCGAATTATTTGTAAACCATTTTAAATTCGTACATAAACCAAACCTCAAACTTCAATAGAAATGAAACATTTGCTAAAATTCTGGATTTATACACAGGGAATACACGATGATTATAGCTACAAATAATGTTGCACAAAAAGCTTTCAGATTTTGTAATACGCCCAAAGGGGCGTTTTTTAACGTTTTGTGTGTTATCTTAATTTATTAAATATCATGTTCTTCGCACGTAAACCACATAAAATTCAATTAACCAGTAATATCACAAAATATTTAAAAACAGCATATCTTTAGAATTTCCGATAAACAGTCTCGCGCGCTGGAAATAAAAGGGTTTGTCCGTACAGTGTTGGCATTACTAGTTTTGAAGTCGCTGAGTTTGTTAATCAAAAATTCGTGAAGAGTTTTACAAAATTTGAAATAAATAATAAAACAAATTCGAAATTGAAAATTCGGGCTTCCAAGTGCCCATGAAACATGCATTCATGCAGATTCTTCCTTATTTAGTTTCTTTAAATAAAATACATGGCGATAATATTTGATGACAATAGTTTGAAAAGAGAGTGAATGCAGAAAGTGAAACGACGTAAAATGCCGTTTTGAGACAAATAGCTCTTTGGGTTTAACGCTCCTTTGGGCTAATAATGTTATACGAAGATTTTTAAATAAAGAAAAAGTAATTCAGGAAATTAGGTAAGAAATTTCAGTAGAAGTCTAATGTTAGGAACGTTATCTTTCTGGAAGGTTCAAGTTGACGTGCTAAGATTGCTGATGATTAAATTATCAAATTAGTATTGATAATAAATAGCGTAAACAGTTTCTTAGTCATTAGCCAAGTACTAGAGAGGGTAGAATCAGCTTATAAGGAATTTAGGTAATTAAAATTTTTGAATTTCAGTTTAAAAAGGAAAGCGTGTCACTTAATGCTCATGTAATACTGATTTACCTTTAGAAAAATAAAATAAATAAAAACTAAACTATATATAATTATTAAATCTTAATAAGTTACCAGTTGGTGGAACAATAATCAAATCCATGATTTTCATCTTTGTAGGGGGGGGGGAAAGGTCACATTTTAAAAGTGAAATAAACTGCAATATTGTAAGCTTATATGCTGTTTAAATTTTTAGCTTTTACTAAAATTACCTTTTATCCGTGGATACCAACAATTTTTCCAAGTTTTGAACGTAATCTGGCACAATAACAATGACTTCCTCGGATCGAGAAATATTATTCATAAGCAGCTTGTTGAAATATCTATCCCAGTTTATCTGAAAAAATTAAAATTCTAAGTTAACAAATCACTATATATTTCTTAAAAATAATTTTGTACCCATTTAACAAACGTGAATGATACAAAATATTAAAAAATATACCTTCATTAAATCTACTTCTGAAAGGGATCAAATTGAACGTAATGTAAAGCGATGCATATTTTATCATAACAGATATAGATCGATCGAACTGTATTGGGTTATCCAGAAAATGTTGCAGTTTTTTAACGATAAATACGAACGAAGCAGTCCAAATATATGAAAGTTTCATCGAATCACCATTTTGTTTTATGACATTTTGTTATTTCTCCTGAAGATGGCAAATTCCCTTTTTTACTAAGTCATTAGGCTTATTCTTAGAGAAGATATCACGGTCGGTGCTGTTTGGCGATCTCTAAAGAAGTGAATTCCAGGTTTTTTAGAGAATTTTGTAGTGAAATGAAAATCCGAGGAGGCAAGGTCTGGTAAATATGGGGATTGATGCAAAACGTCCAGCCACACTTAATGAATTTCTGCCTGTTGCAATTGGCCGCATCAAACGTATACACACACATATATACATATGCAGGGTAAAAGAGTTATGTTTCCACTCTTTTGGCCAGCTCGGTGAGCTCAGTGTTTTTATTCTCATATATTGGTAAATTGTGCATGTTTTGCTTTAAATGTGGTTCAATTATGTTGTTCTTATGTTCCGGTTAATATTTTTATACCTTTAGTTAAACTGCAGATTAACTAATCAATAATCAACCTTCAGGCAATAGCTGTAAACAGTTTAAAAGCAACAGTTCAGGCAACAGTTTAAAAGTAAGTGGCGCTAGGCCTAACGAAGTCACTATTTGTTTACATTTGAAACCCTTAGCAGAATAGCGAATTGGACAGTTTGTGTAACTTCAGTGTCTTTTTGCCCAGTGGGATCAAAAGTTAACTTTCAGTTTTGTGCACCGAAAATTGTGTCTTCAGTCCTTTGGCCGAATTGTTTGTTTTCCTATACAAACTCTAATTTTCATTGTAAAAATTGTTTCTAAACTATTTTTAGCTGTATTTGGTGTTCTAGGTTTTTTTTTTTCGGTGCACAAAATTGAAAGTTAACATCTGGTCCCACTGGTAAAAAGACACGGAATTTGGTGCACCAATCGACTTAGTTCGCTATAGTACTAAGAGCTTCAAATGTAAACAAATAGCCGCTACATTACGCCTAGCGACATTTAAACTTATAAATTATTGATAATTCTAAAATAATTGCATACAGATTAACTAAGGGCCATAAAAACCTTAACCAGAACATAAGGATAACATTTTAAAGCAAAAAATGCACAATTTATCAACATATAAGAATTAAAAACAAAACAAAAGCTGAACTCACTGATCTGGAGAACATGGTGGGAATATATATATATTTTGTGATGCAGATGGCAACTGAAAAGGTAGGTCTACAACTAAATGTTATGCAGTTCCATATACAAAAGTTGTATGTATACTCGTTTTTGAATTATGCGACATCCATATGTATGTATGTTCAGACGTTAAGAAAAACATTTCTTCTAAATCCATTTTAAAATTCATTTTGGAGAAAAAGAGTCCTTTATTGTGTCCGTACGTACATATATCACAAAAGAAAATCATTAAAATAGCTTCGACAATAGTCAAAATTGATATTTTCGTTGAAATATTTATGATACCAGAAAATTTCCCGACTACACGTTTTCCTTTATTTCGTAAAAGAAAGTAGAAAGTGTTTTCAAATTATTTTTTCTTATTTATTAATATAAAAAGTGAGTTACTATGCATAATTTATAAAATAATTAATCTAAATTCTCCTCCATTGTGTTTCTATTTGAGAACACAATACAGTAGAGCCTTGACATGCGAGCACCTCTTTATACGAGAAATTCGAGATATGAGGAAAGTATGAGCGAAAATTTATGTCTCTAAATACGAACATTGATTAGAGTAACGAGCAATGAGCCAGGCTGTTGGTATGCGTGGAGATGTGTAGCGCTATTTCCCGATCCAGCTCGACTCGAGGAATCCCCTCTTCAGATCACTCAGTGTTCATTGCTTGTGAGTTAATTGTATTTTTACATTAAATGTGAAAATAATTATTCACGATGCCTCCCGAAAAGATTGTTGCCTCAGATAGTGCTGCAAAGAAAACAAAGGAAGCTATGGCCATTGAAATTAAGAAAGAAATCATAGATAAACATAAGCGGGGCGTAAGAGTGACGGAATTGGAGAAGACTTACGGCCGTTCGATATCGACGATCTGTACTATTCTGAACAAGGAGGAAGAAATTAAGAAACTTGATATCGCCAAAAGAGTTACCGTTACTTCGGAGTACCTTCCAAAACTCTTAGTAGATGTTGAGAAGCTATTGTTGGTGTGCATTAAGGAGAAGCAGTTAAAAGGTGATTCTGTGTCGGAAGCTATCATAAAGGTAAACTATGGTTATATTATTTACCACTGTTATTTATTAGAAAAACTGATTTTTATGTTGATATTTTTGGAGTGCGGAAAGGATTAACTGGATTTCCATTATTTTCAAAGGGGAAGTTTGTTTCTAGATACAATAAATTCGCTATACGAGCTCAATGCTGAAACAAATTAAACTCGTATCTCGAGGTTCCACTGGTAAATGGTTGAAGGTACTGCCGCCTGACAATGTTGCTTTTTAGCAGCACGTTGTACCTTGCAAGGAAAACACACTACAGTTAGTAAAATAACATGTAGCTTTATTCTAATGAATGTTTAACCTAAGCCAGTTTCAAAATTTTTAAAATTTAATTACGATATATATTAATAATGATAAAAATAAAATTAAAATAAATGTTACAGATGAAAAATAAAATGTAAAATACCTAAATAAAGGAATGTAAAATGTAAAAAATGAAGGTAGAAAGTAAAATATGGCATGCCGTATAAAATAGCAGAGAAGTTTATGGTTACAAAAATAATTTTGGACGAATTTTTGCTTTGGAAGAAATTCCTCAAATTAAGAGAATTTCATAGAAGGTTCCTGTATTAAATTTTGATGATGTAGTAAGCTTTTATTTTAATTTAATAATTGATAAGAAACTGATCAAATTTTTTAATATTGTTACAGATAATTCAAGAGGCCTCGCTTTTAGGCAGAATAAATTGATTATTTATAAGAATAAGTTTTAAAGAAAAATTTACATCATTATCATATTTTAATTCTAAAGTTACGGCTTATAATCTTTTTGAATTTTTGATTATGTATGAATTCATGAAAACAGGCTTTTATTAATGAAACAGCATACTTAAGGTATGAGTTTGCGCTAAGGTTAAATATTGTTGAGTGATATATGTTTGTCGATATATCTTTAAACACTCACTTCAGATAAGCAGGAATAAACCAATGATTTATTAGAACGATTCGCGAAACACTACAAAATAAATAGCTGTAAACAACTTAAGGAGAACTCAAATGTTAAGCAATTACTCCTTAGCGCATGAAAATTGTCATAAATTCCCAAAATTATTCACAGAATAAACTCTAAATAACAGTCTAGATAGCGTTTTCATATAACAAATCTCACAGTTGATTAACAGCAACAACTCGCTGTTGGAGCTGCATTTATATAGCGTAACAATGGCATGCATGGGTTTCTGGAAGCTTCGAAAAAATCGGTCGCCAAGGCCGGCGAGGAGTGTATTTGCCTATATCTTGCATCCTACTCGAGCTATTTGTACATTTTAAACGTTGCTACCATAAGAATTGAAGGATCTTCAACTCTGTTACAAGAAACAGACACTTATGTATAAGACATGCGATCACACGAACGAAATATACCCTATATGCAACAAATAAATAAATAAATCAACAAACAATATTACAAAAATACATAAAAAAATAAAGATGCAATAAAATTAATTTAAACACGTACAGGATTTACAACAACGTATATATTTATATATATACAATGATAAAAATAAAAATTTTTAAAGAGTATTCTTTAGATTCAAGAAAAACGTTTATTCCATTTCACACATGCACACGTTTTCCCATTGTGCGAAATCATGTCATTAAAAAATTAAAAGTAAGATATCATTTTTGTATTACTCTTAAGCTGTTTTCGAATGTGAATATTATGGCTGAAATTATTGCAATTAAGTTAATCAGAGAACTTAATTTGGAAATTCATATTTATATGAAACTTTGATAAAACAAGGCCTATAAAGTTTACTGTGCACTTACATCTGGGGCTAAAGTATAAAGATCCTCCACTGTCATCTTATTATACAATCGGCTGATGTTTCTTCTTTCTTCTCTTGGCACAGAAAACTATAAAAAACATTTAGATTGAAATCTGGTTTGCTCAAAGAAAAATTTAACATATGATTTAAAGGTACAGAACTTAAATAAAACAGACTAATGTTATGAAGAAAATACAATGATTTTCTTTTACATAAAACTCTAGAAAAGTTCATGAAAATCTGAATAAACATTTAACATATTCTCTAAACCTTTACTAATTGAAAATGGCATTTGGAAAGGGATTATAGCTTGAAAATGTGGAGTTAAATTGACTAATTAATTTAGAGTGCAATATCATCAAAATTGTTGAGTTAATAGTTATTTGTTTAATTAATTTAAGGAAAATGAATTTCTTCAATGGCCAAAAAATCTTAATAATACTCTTTCTCTCTTAGTTTATAACATTAAAAACGTTTACTAAGAAATCCAAAAGCATTTAAAAATTATATATTATTGAACTTAATGAAGTTTCTTAGAATAAAATTTAAAAGACGTACATTGGCTATCGAAATTTCAAACAAGAGAGCTTCTTTCATCTCTTTTTCTGCCGTGGTCTTATTCGCCCCGAGTAGAGCTGCGCTGTCCACCATGAGTTGATAATAAGCGCTCACCAGTGGGTCATCAGGTCCTTTCAGAAGGTAGTTGCGATCTGGCATTCCTAAGCTTGCTTGGTCAAGCTGTCTCAAAGAAAAGTAAAAATAATAAAAATAATAATTTCGGTTTTAAGAAGAGGAATAAATTACAAAATTGTACTTTACAGAGTAAGTCAATTGTCACTATGTACTTTATATAGCATAATGATAAATAAGGATAAAAATCACAGTGCTTATTTATTGTATACAAAATATTTAGTACACAAAAATGGAAGACTTCCTATGTGTTTTGGGTTTATACAAATCCTTCTAGCTGACTTTCAGTAACAGAATATGTATATACATTTTTCGTTGAATGAAACAGTCAGTAGCGATTGAGACATCAGACTGGCCAATTAGTTATGATTTGGCACCTCAGTCTTGAGTGTTTTTGATTGAACATGCATTCCAAAGCGGAAAGGAATACATGAACAAAATGCAAATCCAGATTGAATTGGACTGTATTAAGTAATACAAAGTCTACTAAGGATGGATGGATTATTTAGATCATAGCAAAGTATACTATGATTAGTTATCTAAAGGGAACGATGCCTTCACAGAGTACTCTGTACGGAAGCTGGCTTGTATGTAGATCTTCTATGCAGCCACCTCGTTCTTCGGGATTTGACTCTGGATCGAGCTACCAGCGTTCAACTGTCTTACCACTCAGCTACTGGTGCACTCAATGCATTAGAGCTGACTTTGCATACGGCGAAATAAATACTTTCATATAGGATTTATAGAAGAAACTCTCTTATATTTACGTTATATATGAGGAAAACAGTCTTATGCAGCCTATCGTTTTAGCTAACAGAGGAGAACTAAGGACAAACCAGCGATCTTTGGTGGCTTAAGCCACTCAATCACTAATTAGTCGGCCATTTAAGTTCACAGGAGAATTTATTGATCACTATGCACTTCATTGCAATGGAGTGAGGTGCTTAACTAAAATGCTTCGTAAAGCGGAATAATCGGGAAATATACCGAAGAGCAAAATTATTAGAGTGGTACAGAGGAACTGGTGGAGGATATTGTTTTTCGTATCTCTCAGAGTCCAAAAACAATCATTTCGAAAACTGGCACATGCAGAGTTGTCGTTTGATAACACCAAAAGGCTCTGAAAATGCAACTGAAATAATAGCGTTATAGTAGTGCATAAGAGTGTGTACTCACACTTCTTTAAACGTTTTGCATGTTGTAGATACTTCGAGACGTGCATTATCGGTTATGTAAAAATTCTCGAATTCGAAAAATCGGGCGTTTTAGATAAGACGATTTCCATATACTCTGATAAATTCATATATCCTGATATCTGTTCAAGCAGAGCAGTCCAACATCATTTCACATCATTCATATGGAATTCCAGTACACGATACGAAGACTGATATCTAGTGTACGATATCATGAAGGGGCGTAAGTGAGCTCATATTCTTCAAGAATACCATAACCGTTTCCAGCTACAGAGGAAATATTCTTTACTCACTAATGGGCATCGGAATTAGAAAGAAAATTCCTAGTGGCTATTTTTATGAGGATTGCTCTATGACCTGTATAGTTCCCAATTTCAAGACATTTTTAGTCGAAAAGAGACGTTAACTCAAATGAGCTATTAGTCTCGAAATGGGATTTTGCTTTGAGTCACTATAAATGGGTGTGTAACTCTTCAGATTCTTGCCACCAAATATTATCGCTTTTAATTATTTTTTAAGAAATTAAATAATGAAGAATCTGCATGAATTTATGCACGGTTATTATGAAAATGACGGTACCTAGAGCCGTCAAATTTTGAATAACATAATCCTCCACCCCGACATGTGCACATGAAAGCTCGGATTTTCAAATTCGAAATTCTTTTATTATCGTTTCATATTTTATAAAACTTTAACGAATTTTTGATTAATAAACTCAACGATTTGAAAGCGAGCAGTAGCGACACTGCACGGAATAAAATATCTTTGTTTCTTCTTGAGACTGTCTATTGGATATTCTGAAGATATGCTGTTTTTACATATTTTGTGATTTTGCTGTTGAATTGAATTTTATGTGGCGCAGGTGCGATGAAGGTGATATTTAATAAATAAAGTTTATATTTATATATTTAATAATCAGACGTAATAATAAAAAGACAAAAAAGGTTTGCAAGCCATGTTGCTAAAAAAACTGAACATTGATATGATAAACTGAGAAAAGACTGAAAAAAACAGAAAAATGGATTCCAACACTTAAGGCTGCGTCGGAAATTCTAAACGTATACTGGTATGCTGTTTTTAAAATTTTTATAATTTTGTTGTTGAATAATTTTGCTGCTGTTATGTGCGAAGAAAATGATGCAAAATAAAAGCTAAAAATGCAAAAAAGAAAAGGTTAACAGGAGAGAATGCAACAGCAGACTTGTGAGCTGCAGGCTCAGCACTAAAAGAAAGAACTGCGAGAACTAAAAGAACTGTGGACGTAAAAATCCTTAACAAACCCTTATAGGCGAGCGTTAAAATCTGAAAATTTTCAGATTTTTTAAAAATTCATATTATAAAAACAGAGTTATTAAAAAAAGCATATGATCCTCATTTCTGAGGTTTTTGTAAAACTTTGTTTACAAAAACAATCTCAATTACGACTTCAAGAAGCCTTTATCACATTTTTCAGCCACAATCTCCGTTAGATTTGTCACTTTAACAATAAATAAATATAAACGCTTACCACGCTTTACTGCGCAATCATCGTGCAATATTGTGATGGGCAGAACGTTGCGGTTTTTGAGCGTATTTACTTTTCTCCTGCGGTCTGACTTGTCACTTTAACAATAAATAAATATAAACGCTTACCACGCTTTACTGCGCAATCATCGTGCAATATTGTGATGGGCAGAACGTTGCGGTTTTTGAGCGTATTTACTTTTCTCCTGCGGTCTGACTTGTCACTTTAACAATAAATAAATATAAACGCTTACCACGCTTTACTGCGCAATCATCGTGCAATATTGTGATGGGCAGAACGTTGCGGTTTTTGAGCGTGTTTACTTTTCTCCTGCGGTCTGAATGACGCAGATGTACCATCTTGTCCTTCGATAATAGTGAGTGAGACGTCATAACGGCCAGTTAACAAGAGTTTTGTCTCTTGATTCTCGATTATTCTGATTTAACATTATATAACACAGGGGAATGTATGGACAGAGTGTGTAGACTAGACTGGACTGGATTTAATTATTTGAGAAAGCTTTTGGGAAGATGTTTTGATTGCGTGGATCACCGTTTATATACAGTTGGAGGCCATCTATTGCAGTAAGTATTGCATTATTTTGCCAGGCTCACAGTGACGTTAGTATTAATAATCAGTTTATAAATAAATAAATATACACATAAAAATAAAATATAATAATTTATTATATTAAATAATATTTAAAATATATACCGAACATATCTAAATATGCAGTAACATGCTAATTAAGACTTAGAATACGTGCTTGGAAAATAAAGCCCAAGATGAAACCGCTTCAAATAAAGTGATTTTAATGCATAGACAATAAGATTAAGGAAACACGTAACTAGTAGTAGGTAATAGTTGTTTTAATTTAAATTTAATTTTTGTACTGATTTGATAACTATTCAAATAATTTTATGAATAAATTTTATAGTACCTTCTACACTCCTAATGTGTGTATCTGACTGAAGGAAAAAAAAAGAGAAAAATGTATGCCGATTTTTAAAGCTCTATTCTAAATGTATAACGCTATGCTGCTTTTAAAATTTTTGTAATTTTGCTGTCAAATTGTATATGGCGTAAGTGCGAAGAAAATTATGTTTAATAATAAGCTAAAAATACAAAACAAATTATGCTTAATAATAAAGCTAAAAAGACAAAAAAAGTTGTAGTAGTAGTGAGCGTAGCAGCAGGACTGGTAGACTGCGAGCTCACCGAGAGCGTAAAAGACCTTAAACCTTCGGGCGACCGTTAATATCTGAAACATTTCAGATTTAGTTTTCATCATGTTTTCCAAGCATTCAAGAATCGTTTTCAGCTCCTTGGAAAACAAATAATTTTTTAAACAACTAAATAAATAGTTCCATTTCCGTCAGGACTGAAATAGTCTAGCAAATAAGTAACTAAGAGCTCCAGTTTTAGTAGTGTTTATGTTTGATTTGAAATCTAGTTATTCGTTAAGTAGCTCAAAACTAAAAAATTTCGTTCTTTTTGTAATTCTGCTACTTAAACTTAATGTACTACAGTTAGACTTACTTCTTATTTGTTGAAATTGGTCTAACTGATAATGAACTTCCAGGCAAATAAAAAAAAATATCTGCAAAGACAGGAGGTGTGACAACTATTTTATATGGAAATTATCGGGTGACGTAAAGTGAAAACGAACGTAGTGCCATCTTTCAAGTAACAAAGGAAAGGAATTTGAAAAAGGTGAAGTTATTAGAATATTGAAAGTTTTAGAAGCAACTATATGGAGTTTAATATCATTAAATAAAATTCTTCGACAGATGGCGCTGCGCCCGCTTTGTCGTTGCTCCGCCCATTGAGTTCCATATATCGGTTATTACTTCTCCCGCCTTTGCAAAAATGCTTTTGCTCCTGAAGAAGAGGAACCTATGTCTTATCATCCTCCAAACAGGCAGACTTTTATTTAAAATATGCGAGAATATAAGAGTTATTTTATATCTAATCTCAAATTTTATATGTATGTCTCATTCTTTAAGTAAGAGTACCCGTAATAGAGAACATTAAGGCAAAACATGATTTTCAAATTAAATGACTCCAGATCAAAAGAAAAACGAGCGACCTGTTTTCTGGAAGAGGAAAATCATGCAGTTCATCTATCTCATTTTTTTAATCTTTTGTTCAGTAACAATCAAATTCGAGGTAACAATTACACTTACGTCCACAATATGACGGGTGTTGTTTCGTATATCGGGTCCAATAGAAACGGACAGGAAAATGTTGTGCCCGAAGCCTATCTTTCTTAGAGTAAACAAGGCTTCCATCCAATCGAACTGCGTCACATCCCATTTCTCTCCTTCCACAGCTGGCCATCCACCAAGAGCTTGTACAATTTTGACCAATGGTTCGTTCCCTAGCATTTCGATGTGAGCTGAAATTTTAATTATTTATCAGCATCAATATGAAATTTTATGGAATAATCTCATATTATGCAATACTAAGCAATTTTCTTGCAATATACTGATGGTAACTTTTATTATCTAAATAGAATATTTCTATATTTATACCACTAAGAATGAAGTAGAATATTAAATGTTATATACAGAGTAATTTAAAAGTTATCATACATTTATAAAAAAGTATTTGAGCGATGTTTAAACATAATTACTAATAAAAGCCAGGAAACTTATCAAAACCAAGCTTTTAATAGTGTGAGTCAGTAAAGAAGCTGTACTAATCCCGTTGTCAAAAATCTCTCTCGAATTAGCATTTTTTGTCGTTATTTTAAACATAATTACTAATAAAAGCCAGGAAACTTATCAAAACCAAGCTTTTAATAGTGTGAGTCAGTAAAGAAGCTGTAGTAATCCCGTTGTCAAAAATCTCTCTCGAATTAGCATTTTTTGTCGTTATTTTAAAGTTACTTATTTATATTTCTGCTGAAGCTGACAAATAAAACACACGAGTACAGGACAGATTTAACTTAACATATTAACTAAAGTAAATCAAGAACATGCACACATATAGTAAAGAAATTCACACAGAAATACATAAAATTATAAGGGTCTGTATACGAATTCTGTTTTATAAATTTCTATTTAAAATTACATACCTTAAACAAGGTTAAACCTCCGAATTTTGAATATTGTGATTTTAAACAATCAATGCTTTAGGCTAACTAAATAATACGGTTTGCATAATCCTAACTTCTCAGGTTAGTATTATGCTAACCTGTTATGAAACAGTATTTCTTCTAACATTCAAAAATGGCAAGGATTAGATTTTGTGACATTAAGGATGCCTATAAAGCTGCTTGTTTTAGTAAAAAAGAAATAATGCATAGTCACTCGTTATACAGATATACTTTTATGCTTGTTGGCTAATTATGCAAGTGTATTATTTTAAATGTTTATTCGAAGAACTTGATTCTAAGCTTAAATTTCTTTAGCTAAGGCACAGTTTTTTTATGAAACATTTCTATGCCTGGATTGAGCGATTCTGTAAATACAAAACGCACTTTTTTTCATGCTACCTACAGAAGAAATATTCCAGTGAGTCAATTATTGAAGGAATCAATTATTCCAGTGAGTCAGTTATTGTAAGAAAGAAACGTTTACTACTGCCAATTGCAAATTTAGGCGAAAAACCATTTGTGTTTATTTAAAATAAGTATGCATTACTTTTATTATCAATAAGTATTACACTAATGGATTTTACTGTTATAATTAATAATCACTAAACAAATATTACCATTATAAATATCATACTAATAAGCATTACTATTAGTAATAAATTAATAGTTACTTTTAATAAATTACTATTAATAGTATTATTACTCTTACTTACAATGAAATATTATTACTAATAGTTACTATTAATGGTATTATACTAATAGTTATTGTTAATAATATTTTTACTAATAAGTATAACTAATTATTAATGTCAATAAGCCGCTTACTTTTGTATATAAATTCTCTTCAACTCCAAAATACAAATTGTTTGTTTTCAGTTATTACGTATTAAAAATCTTAGCACTCTTTTATGCTGTGAAGTTATTACATTTTAGCTTAGCAAATTGACAAATACATTATTTGTGCCTCGTCCATGAATCACATTGCGCTTGATTTATCCTGATATAAACTTCTTGCAAGTCATCGACACATGCGGAAGATAACATTATCCGGTCTTAATCATTCATCATGCGTATTAAGCATGATTTCCCAATCATTTCGACAGTCCTACATGATCAAATATGAGTAATAACATTTCAGTCATTCTGCGCTTATGTTACACGATGATGACTTGGATTTCCTCACATTTAAACAAGTTGAAAATTTTAAAACAAAGTAAACATTGACTCAACATATTCAACATTTGCGAGGCTAATTTTTCCAAAAACAGGGCAAACAATTCTTTTATTTGTATGATTGAAGCTGTTTTACGTAAGATAATTTCCATTTGTTATTTATGCTCTAGTCATTAGTTAACTGAACCGATATAAAATTTGCCTGTATATTCGTGTACTACAGATTTTATTAGAATGCAGTGGAGAGCGTTCAATAAATCCATGTGTAATTTGCTTAATTAATGGATGGTTTACCAATACTTGTAGATCTGAAATATTTATTCTTTATTTAAATGAACATTATATAGCAAAATTAAAGAATAGACAAAAACGCAAAATTCACCAACAAGAGAATTTAGAAGAATAGAAAACAATTCTACCGTTTTCGAAGAAAGGGTGTTTGATAAAATAATAGGGAAAATAACTGACTTTACAAAAACGCTTTTGCATTTACTTAGAGAATGGTACGGGGTTCATATTTTTAAGAAGCACAGATATTCTGCAATCTTATGATTACACCACATATATAGATTTCCGTAAGTTCTTCCCACATTAAATTCTCAATGACGTTGCAAATTAGAGTTTGTTTCTTCAGTGAAATGAAGTTAGTAGTGTTTAAAGTTTTATTGGATGTACGGCTTGTCTACCGTTCTCATCGTCACATATTGAGCGTATATCAGGATGTCCAAACATTTTTGGATGGTTTCCAGCTGGTCACCTTCATATTGATTCATTCTTAAACTCAGCAACACCTTTTCGGTGTTGCTCATCCGATATGCCTGAAATGAGTGCAGACATCTTTTATTTTTACTTCTTTCCTTTCATGTCATCTAGATCTCAAGGCCTTTTTCGCATACAATTACGTGTTGATATACCCCCACAACTGAAAGTCAAATATGTCTGTGCGTTCAGGCAGATCATAATATGAATCCTCAACGGTCAATTCGTTTGTCTCCGAATATCCTACCTAGAAAGTTTCTGAATGCATGAGCAAGATGCGGAGATCTTGGATGCATGAGTATCACGTTAGCTCGAGAAACATACGTCCGATTCGACAAACACCGACCTTCGACATACGACAAACACCGAACCTTCGACACAGTTCGCCCTATACTCACTTTTGGGCTATTCTTCTGGATCTGGAATCTAGTAGGATTTTTCAGTTCCCCAGAATCAGCATTACGCAGGTTCACCTACAAGAACCGTGGAAGACAACCTTATCTGATAGCACAATATTTGTTGGCAGTATAATATCGCGTTGTAGCTGAATGAACATCATTTCTCAGAATTCCTGCCTAGTATATTTCTCTTCTTCATTCCGAAGGCTAAATCACCAAGATGAAGGTGTTTGTGTGAAATGAGTACCATATGTTCTTAAACAGAGTAGGATCTTTAGAGCATTGATTTTTGGTTCCTCGCTTACTCAACAGTCTCTTCGCTTGTTCTCGGAGACCCCTTCATGATAACTCTGGTATAAATCCTGCTTTAGAAACTTTCCCTATCACGTTTTGATGCATTTTAAAACCACGTTTTTTATGTACGCTATTAAGCGTTTGATGCACCATGAATTACGATTTCAACTCTGCAAACCCATTGCACCATTTTCAAAATCTACGCTGTCTTGGAATCTTAGAATTACTTTTAGTTACGGGAGAGTTGTCGTCAAGATTTTAACATTTTGGTGTACGTAAGAGAAGAGGAAGTCAGTCAGAAGCACAGAACATATTTGTACAGTATACGTCAAACAGTTTAAAGTTTGCTCTGCAGTGTTGAACTTTACTTCATGTTATTCGTTATAAAGGCAGAGAGAATTTAAATATGGGAAGGATTTTTGGAAAACCATGTATTATTAACTTTTAAACTCTAACCCCGGGAGGAAGGTACATTTATAGCAGTATATTTTCAAGACACCTTTGCACATCCTGGAACATAGGTCTTATTCTCAAGGTGTTAAATTACAAATTCTGCAAAACATTTTAAGAATCAAGATCTCAAGATGTCCTTAATATGTCCCCAGGTTATGCGTTTTAAACAGGATATTCTTTGAAAATATTAAAAAAATACTTACTAGTATTCATGCAAGCGTCATACATGCTTTTCAGGTTCTGGATATACTGTGGATCTGTTTCTTTGATTCCAGTTTCCACCATGGCTGCAAAAGTAAAAGGAGTTTAAATTATTTAGCAACGAATGTTAACTTTTTAAAATAAAATTAGCAAAATATACTGTATTACAAAATCAGACGCACTTCATGTAACTTCTTCAATTCATTAACAATATCAATGAGTCAAGATTACCAAGACAAATAATTTTTTTTTGCACCGAAGTATAGAGGATATTCACAGCTTCGTTAAACATTTTAAATATTCTCAGCAAGTAATAAAAGCAATCGATGTTAACTAACAAATTTTAATAATATTGAAAATACAGGTAACTTTATTAGGATTTTTTACACCTTTCATGTATTCTCAAAAGGTTACCTTTTACTGATGTGGAATTCAGCTGTGCATAACTGGGAGGAATTACTTATTGAAAACGTGGTTGGTGCTGTGAATGAAAACAGTAACGATTAGCTTTTCTTTCTCATTGTATACTATACAGAGTTATTCTGAATTCTGTGAAGCCTTTTAAAACTTCATATCAAAGAAACCAAATCTCTGCAAGAACCATTTTTTGCAGTTATTTGCGAAAGTATGTCTATCAAAACTTTCCATGAAAGGGAATAGGATTTGCAGGACAAGGCGATAAAGTGCTAATGAGGTGGCCATTTTGTCTCTGAATTTACTCGCATGTGATTTTTTTATGTGGGTGTTTTCTCGAAGGCATCGTCTTCGTGTCTCCAGTTTCCATTAATGACCAATATCTTCGTACCTATATCACCACTGCTGTGTGTCTGGTTGCCTACGATATAATGGCCGTTGATGAAACGGAGTATCACATAGATGTCTTTTGAGCAAAGATGAACATACTAAGCGTATGTGAACAATATCCAAAAATTTTAGAAGGTTTTTGCAGAAGACATTTCTTATGTCAAAACATTATTATTCAAAGCTGTTGAACGTGTCAAATATCCATGCGCTAACAATATTAGTTTTGGTAATTATCGGGGAAAAGGATATGAATGAGGAAATCTTCAGTTCCTGTTTCAAGATGAATTGACCACATCTTGGGAAGTTACACAATACTGAAGAGCAATCTCATGAAGCGCTGTTTTATCCAGAAAGATCTATATTACGGGAATAAACTTAAAAAAAACTGTATATTATGAAAAACACTTTGTTATTTCTAGCACTTAACAATAAAAGCCATTTTAAGACTAATATTCTAATTTAGCGTATACAGTTTCGAAATGTCCCATGCAAGAAAAGGAGAAAATATTAGACAGAGTTGAAACATTTCCCCCCAGCATTCCAATCTTTGAATGATTTCGATATACTGGGCAATTTTCAGTGCACTGAACTTCAGTGCACTTAATTATTTTGCAGATTCTTCCTACAACGCTTTCTCCCAAAAAATCCTTTCACTGTTTGGAGAAGAATTGAAACTTGAGAAACTTTGCGAAGCTTTAAATGTTAGACAAAAACAAACTGATGTACTCATGATAGAAACTCACGAATGTGGAGATTCTACCTTTTCAAAAGTAGTGATATTTGTTGCATGTTTAACGAGCTTCTCCAGGACACGCAAGCCGTTCTTTGTTTAGCATACAAAGTTTTCCCTACTTGACATTCAACAAGTTTTCCAGCTGTTGCTCTCTAGAATTTGAGGTCTCGAGCAAAACAGCATATGACCTTTAAAAATTATCTCTATATGCAAGTAAAGTTTACTTGGGTAAACGTTTCCCCTTGACTCAGAAATGATTGTATTGCAACAGGAGTTAATACTTCACATTCATTAAGATTACTTATACACATTTGTACACTATTTTGTGAAGTATTCCGCTTTCAGACCCCTCAGTAATTGCTGTGGATGTTAGTAGCCAGAATTGCTTAACCTAAAACTTTACGTTGAGCTAATGTTTAGCACTATTTGGAAAATTAATTGCCAGCATTCCAGCATGATTTGTCAAAATTAGAACATCAAATTAATTAAAATTCTAATATTCTAACATCCTAATAAAATTCTAATATATAGTCTAATAATTAAAAAAATATAATTAATTAAAAATTTCGTTCTAAATTTCGGTTTTGAGGGCCGTTAAAAAATGCCCGTGTTAATGTTGCCAAAAATTTATTATATGAATATGAAATAACGGAAATGAAGAAGATAAGTAATAAATATTTTCATTAAATATATTTTATTAATTATAATGTTATTATAAAGTTACTAGTAAACAAACATAGTAAGCAGTTATATTTATAAAAATTGCTAATAACATAACGATGATGCTATCCGCGCTATTTCGCTACCGAGTTATCGCTAAAGCATAGTTCATCTCTTCAAACAATAATGAATGATCTTCTTTGAAAAATTCTTGGTAAAGGTCGAAATCTGATTGCAAAAAGATATTGGATTTTTATCATTTTCTTTTTTAGTGAAATAGGTGGTAGATACAGTCTGTGCGGTCATGTTGGCTGGAATTTGTTTTTTGAAATATGGTTGTACATGGTGTGTAATCGTTTAAAACCGTCACAATTCTATTGCACTAAATTCCCAAATTGTTAAATTCATAGGATATTTAAGATCAAAAAGGATTTAAAATTAAAACTAGTATTTCAATGGCTTCTTAACAAATATAGAACTATCTAAACTTACGCAATCTGAAATCAGCGCGTACGCTAGATTTGGCGCGCTGTTAAAGCCTCTATAAAATTCTAATATATAGTCTAATAATAATAAAATTCTAATAGTATAAAGGAAAATAAAAAATTCGGTACTATTTTCTAAGGGCCGTAAAAAATCGCCAAAACTAAGGTTTTAACTGCCAAAAATTGCGGCACCCTAAGCGAAGGAAAGATTAGGGGTGATAATAATTCGAATGAAAAAAATTAAAACTAGTGTTTTTAATAATAATGTACAATAAAAAGGGCTAAATAGAGATATAAGATTAAATAATTAATTTAATATATATAAAATTTTATAAAATGCTAAACATAAACTGAAAGGATGCCTGAATCGCTATTTCGCTACCGAGACGCTAAAGCGCTAAAGTTTAAACATCTCGTTGGTTATTCAAACATAATTTTTTATAATGAATGATGCCTTTTCTTTGAAAAAATTCTTGGTAAAGTGCAAAATCGCCCACTTATTTGTTTGCCGCTTTTTACAAGGGTAAAAAGAATTGGATTTTTATCAATTTTCTTTTTAAGTGAAAATAGGTCGATGTGTACATAGATAAAGTCAAGGGTGTGCGCAGTGTCATTTTTGTGCAATTCTGGGATTTTTTTTTTTTTTTTTGAATATAGGTTGATGTGTACATGGATACCGGGTATGTGCAATTCTTAAAAACGCGTCAAGCAGTGGGTGATTCTGCACTTTACTCAAAATTCTATAGCGTTTGCTAGATTTGGCGCTTTTGCGCATACATTGTCGCTGTAATTTTTTACGGTCCTCAAAACGGAATAGTACCTAAAATTCTAATAACTTCGTATACTGCAACTTAACTGCTACGTAACTCAAAAAGTACGAAACCCATAGTTTCCGTAGGTACTTTTCCGTTTCGCCGGCGCAAATCTCGCCAAGCAGACTTTGTTGGCGACAACATACAGTATACACATAAAAAATGTTAATTCTAAGAATTTTTTTTTATTTTGAAGGCATAAACATTTTAATAAAAAAAATTTTGTAAAAAGCCAATAAATAAAGAATAAAATTTGTAAAAAAAACATTAATTTAAGAATTTACTATGATTTCCATGGTTCAATATCCTGATTCGCCGGTTCGTAATCACGTGACCCCAAGTGATCTCATCTCACGTAAACTACGCTACTAAAATCTAATTCGCTCAGTAATTATCTACATTAATTTCAAGTTAAATCTTAATTTGGAATACAAGTTTAAATGCAAGAATTATTTCAATTCGTACGAATAGCTTACTCAGAAATTATGTAAAACCGCAGTGCTTTACTTCGCTAGTGCATTCTCATTAGAATTGATGAATTTAACACTTGATTTCGCCTTCGGATGAGCGGTGTAATTGCGTTCTAATTGACTTAGAATTAACTAACTTGAAAACTTTGATTACCGTGAATGTTAGGGGATAGAATTTAAATATCGTGTAAAAATTCTATATTATTGTATGCCAGTATTGAAAGAAACAATCTGATAAGAAATGGCTTCAACTTGTTTTGAAACTGAGGCGTAAAAGGTTACCAACAAAGATATTCCATCTGGCATCAGTTAAACCATTATTGGCGACTTTATCGTTTGCGCCGTCAAAACGGAAAAGTACCTTTCCGTATTTAGGAAAAAGTAAACTCATCTCGCTGTTGCATTTCATAGGTCAACTACGAGAAGCGTGCTGAACCGCTTTTGAGTGCGTGGGAATATTGCCGTATAGGAATAAAAAGTAAATCAGGAAAGGAAATTGTTTTGTTTGGCGTCGGAAAGCTGAAAGATCAAGAAATGGTGTTCAAACTATTGACGTTGAACAATAGGAATTGACGTTGAACAATAGTCTTTAGTCAACCAAAGTTCTTGTTGGTTGAAATTTAAATAGTATAGCTATAAAAAAGATATCTTGTTTTTTAAGCTGTAAATTGACTATTGCATAGCACAGCAAAAAATTGTGAAAGCAAAAATGAATTTTCAAAATGACAGTTTATATTTACACTTAACATATTTTAAGACATTTAGATTTCAAATCTGCAAGAAGTGAAAAGAACTTTAACAACTGATAACATCTTCTTGTCTGCTTTAAATAATATTTCAGAATCATAGGAAACTATAAAAACTCCATTCAACAAAATTTCAGTCACTTAAATTTGACTCTAATCTTAACAATAAATTTAAAAAAATTAGTATCATTCTAAGAATAAACCTATTTTTGATATATTAAACATTCAGAAATTCGTTATTACCATTTTCTAATTTTGCGTTCCGTTACTCCAGACTTTAAACAGATCTGAAAGTAGCTTTCTTATTAGAAATTAAATATGTAACTTTTAATTTTGTATATTCGGCACATTGAAAAAATGTACCTAATATGAGGTACTTCATTACTAATTATACGGACATATATCAAATATCCATCAGCTAACAATATTAGTTTTGATCGTTTACTAGGGTTATTCAAGAAGAATGATGGATTCATGGAGCTATCTTATTAAAAGAATTTTAAAGTTTTAACTAGAAAAATAGTTTTCTGTTAATTGTGAAGCTTTATTTAATCTCTACAAGTATTCAGTCGAGTTGAGGGATCATAAGCTCACGGATAGATAACGTTGTGGATTTCTGTGGATTGCGCTAAAATACTTTCCACAGTTTCTCCATATTTTGCTGCAGAATTCGTGAACATCCAGGAGTTTTTTTCTTTTAATACACATGTATTTCTTCAGACTGTCGAAAGCGTCTCCGAATTTTCTGTACGCAGTAAGCGTTTTGCTGAGGTGCCGCCATTCCGAGTAATGACAATAATTAAAGCGGCGGCAGGGAACGACGCATCCAGAGCGCGATAGATTCCCTGCTGGCAGGCATTCAAGTCTTAGGAACCTAAACTTTTGAATGATCAGCATCTACTTCAGTAGAGATGCTTGAAAGCCACGAAATAGAAGTTCGAGATGGGTTCATTCTTTTTATATTCCCATATATCTTTTGAGTAAGTTTTAAAATATAGAAAATACTCACATCTTAGTAGAAGGTCCAGATCGTCTTGTAGCAGGGAGAAGACAGAAACAGCTGACCTGTCGTCTGGAATGAGTTGTTTTTGCAGCCAGCCTCCGCAGGCGAACTCGTAGAAATTTTCACAGGGTTCTACTTTGTCGTTGATGTTGTTTAGAATGGTGGCAGCTACATAAAAATAAATAAAAATATAAATAAATTTTATAAAATATTTTTGAAGAAAACTGGATAATTCACGATTTCATCCAAAGTTTCCCCGTCAACTAAAGTAAACACAGAGAAAAAGGTTCGTATCTGTGCATAAGACAGGGTCTCCAAATTTTGCCCATGTCTCTCGGATACTCAATATGCGCACTTTATATACAATGAAAATGAAGACATACAAGATAACAACCCTGAATTCAATCACTGTGTAATATCATATATTTGTAATGAGTTAAATTATGAGTATTTTTCTAATATTCATAAATATTTTGTTATGTCACATATTTATAAATAATTACGTATGGTTATGCAATGTCATATAATTGTAATTAGTTAAATTACGAGCATCTTTTTAAACATTTATAAATATCTTTAATATAATATGTTTATGGATATTTAAACATGATTATGTAAAGTTATATTTTTGTAATTAGTTAAATTATTAGTACCATTCTAATATTTTTTAATATTTAGTAATGTTACATGTTTATAATAATAAAAAATGATTATGCAATGTCATAAACCATAAACTTTTAATTAATTAAGCATAAGTGAATACCCATCGCTAGATACACAACTTTTGTTATTAATTAAAATAGCTTATGCTTAATTTTACGCAACTTAAACGAAATGAAAGCAAGCATGAAGATTTAAAAGAAATCTTAGATTCATTTCAGTTTTTTAAATAAATATCCTGCGCATTTAGAGACAAATCTGTTCAAAATGAGAATATGGTATAAAACTAAGAAATATAATATTTAAAAAAAGGGGTTTTAGATAGTCAATTCTGAAAAATAAATTGTACTTTTACTTACATATCATTAAAAGCAAATGTTCTTAAGTTTAAAATCAAATGTTTTAGTCTCGAAGAATAAATGAAGTAACTAAAATGTATTAACTTCCTATTGTTCTAAAAATACGCAGTAACTGCAGGAAATCCCTTAATATTAACAAGGTGCATTAAACGAGGCTGAATATTAATCCAAATCACTGAATGTGTTTTTTACGTATGCGGATTGCCTCAATGAAAATGAAGGAATGTCCGTATTTAGTTTGTTCATATTTTATGTCAGTAAAAAAAAAAAAAAAAAAAACTAATGCTAATATTTCCAGAAACAATCAGCGAACCTAGGATTTAATCAATCTCATGGTGTTTCAACATTGTTTTGGCAGAAGTCGTCTGCCATTTGAAACATTGAGACAGATGTTATTCTACAGTGAGATGGCATACATTTATGTAAACATTCACATATTTTTTAAGAGTCTCGTATGGTTAAATTACACAAAAGTTATAAAGTTAAACTCCGACTGCAACAAGTGTTAAAAAGGTCTTATTTACATACAATATGATTTCCTTGTACCTCCTGTTAAATTATACAAAAATTTTGCTGCACTTCATTTAAAATTATTTTCTCGAACTATTCTAAATAATTAATCGTTCCTTCAAGGTAAGTTGAAAATGACATAAAAAATTCTAAAATTTTAAAATTAAGTAATTCAGTCAAGTTTTTTCGTACGTGAGTCATACTTTTTATGATTTTATTTTTTCATAACGAGTATAAAACTTTCCCAAATATAAGTATAGGAACCGGAAGACCGAATTAAAAATCAGAAATTCGTTATTTGTCAAATTTGATTTTTAAATTTGACATTTTTTGGCATAAAAAATTTTGGCAAAACATTATTATTTTCGTCATTTAAGATACTTCTGTAACTGGAAGTACATGACTACGACAAATGATTCCAAAAATAAAGCCCGGATACTGACTTTTAAGCCGAGTAAGGTTATGGGTGTATGTGAGTGGATATATATATATATATACGGTTGGTGCTGCCAACTGCGATAAAAAGGGAAGTTGCTCCACTAGATGTTATAACAATCCCATGTACAAAATTTAATTTCAGCGTTCTAAGGTTAATCGTTCTTAAGTTAGGCGAAATACATAGATACATATATACAGACGTACGTATATAAATACATATATACATATATATGTTTCATAACTTGCCTATATACATACGTACAGATGTTACGAAAAAAAATCGCTTTTTAATCGATTTTACAATCCGTTCTGGAAAAAGAATAAAAAGAGTCCTTTATTCTGTCACATACAGATGTCAAGCGAAAACATCATCCAAAAGGATTCGGAAACATCAAAATGGATATTTCCTTTGAAATATGATACCAGAAATGTTTGGCTGTTACAGTACTTTCTTAAATAAAAACGGTAGATTTTCAAAACGAACGTGGGCTCCCGAATAACAAAATCTATTAATCAATTTGCACCGTGAAAGTACTTTTTAAGTTTATGAAAGGTGTCCCATGCTTTTATTATTCGCGATACAAAATTGTAGATGAATTTTGGAAAACAAATTATTTTATCTCTTGTTCCCATGAAAATGAGTGATAAATTATTTTTCTTCTTTTACTTCGTTTATTACTTTGAGAGTCTGAAATAAGAGCGTACATTAAAAAACATATTTTACCATACTTTATTTAATAATTTAAATAATCAAAAATTTTAAAATGTATTAATTTATTTATAACAAAAATAAGCTCAATTTGACTTAGTCTGGAACGAAAAAGAAATGACAATGCATTACGTTTTAAAATCATTTAATGATTATAAAAATAGAAACATGCAAATAAAAAAATAATCACTTCACATTTTCTTGTAAGCTTAAAACTGAGTTGTAATTGTAATGTAGAATGGTCTAGGGGGAGAAAAAAAAGATTCGAATATTTCGAGTGATGATGACTGAAAGTCTTTCCTAATATACAATACATACAGCTTATAAAACAATAGACACGTAAATGACCTTTTCTAATCCTTTTACATCCATTAATGAAGTTTGTTTGTTTTCATTAATTGAAAACTGAGTAAAAATGTTTCGAAACTAGATTCAAATTTCGTTAGGGTGGGGGAAATGTTTGAGCCTGAAAAATAGTACAATTTTCAAAATACGTATGAGAATAACTACCCGTTTCACTATCGATATAAACAAGTTTTGCTTAGAAAAGCTTAATTAGGTTCATGTTCTGGAAAAAGAAGACAAAAATGTTCCTCTTTCTTTCACATTATTACGACAAATTCCCTCATTTTCCACTAATGAGCCAACTTATATACGAAACATTTTAATAAGCATCAAATTACATTTATTTTTTTGGTAAAATGCAAATATTTTTATAATTTCTGTGCTCTTTTAATGCATAAAATTTGAATTACTTAAAAAGAGTGCAGTATATTAATTTATATTTGCGTATAGAAAGCAAATTAGTAACGATATTAGGTCTCATAAGAATTAAAAAATTGTAATATTTTTAGTTATTCAGCTCAAACTTTGAAACAAAGTTTTATTCCATGCTCCTAAAGCTTTATTAAAATGTAGGAAAGGGCATTCAAATCTTATGTAAAAGAAAGCAAGACGAAAATCTAAAATTATTGTTGAGTGAAGTTTGGGCTTTATTTAATTTTCGTAATACCTAAAAATTTCTAATAGATCTCAATTAAGATAGATAATTTCTTATAGTGTTTTTTACACAGGAAACGTATGAGGTTGGAAACAAAGAAATTTCAATTTTTAATGTTAAATAAAACTCAGTTTTTTTCTGTTGCCACCTTTTTGGTAACTTCATGATTCTGCGCTTATAGAACTTCTGGCCTTTATCATAAAAAACTCAACCCACTGCGATTTCAAGTCATCGTTATTACAGAAACTTTTAGCATTTAAATGATAATCCGATGGTGCAAGGTCTGGGCTATAAAAGTGATGCTACAGCACTTCCCAATCAAGCTCCAATAATTTCGCACGTGTTGCTAAGAATGTGTGAGACCCTGCATTATTGAGGTGGAACATGATTCCTTTCGATTTGCCGATTTTGGCCTGCTTTCTCAATTTCATAATTTATTGGCAGTAAACATTTGAGTTGATCGTTTGGTTACTTGGAAGCAGCTCAAAATACACAACTTTATAATCCCATCAAATTGGCAGCATAATCTTTTTCTGATGCAATTTAGCTTTCTATGTGATTTGCGCTGATTCATCATGCTTGCACCGTGATCATTTTAGATTAATGTTACTGTATGCGATCCATTTTTCATGAGCAGTGATAATTAGTTTCAAAAAAGGGGAGTTGCATTACGTTTGAAATGCGTATTGTAAATATTTATTCGTTGTATTAAGTGATTTTCTTTCAATTCATGCGATACCCAAATATCGAGTTCTTTAACGAGTCCAAGACAGCTTATGTGATTTTCACTTGTTTGTCTGATGCATTTAAACGTTTTGAAACCTCTCGCACGGTTACATGACGATTTGATTAAATTATGGCATTAATTTTGTCATCATCAACTTCAGAAGATTGGTCAGAATGGCGGTATCTTCGAGGGAAAAATCTCTAGAGCGAAATTTTTTAATCCAGTTTTCACACATATGCTCTGTTAAATAGTCAGCATCATAAACATCGCATATCTCTTTGTGAGCCTCAACCGTTTTCTTGCCTTTATTAAAATAAAAAAAAAGTGAAATACGTCGAAAATGTTTGCTTTTGCATCCCATGTTAAATTTGACCCTAAACTAACAGTAACAAAAAATACCAAATTTGTTCCTGTAGCAACTTAAAAATGTCAGCTGCCAAATCTTGTATGAAAAAAAAATATAAGATTGACAGAAGAATAATAAAAACAGTATAACACTACCTGTTTGTGCAAACCGAAATTACTTTCTTCCCAACCCCCAATAGTAAGTCTTTGTACACTGAAGTAACTATTGACAACAGAGAGAGACAGAGAGTTAAAAATTGTAGAAGTCGTGTCTACCGGTAACTAAAGTGACTATTCTGTTTTTCATGTAAGACTGATTGCAGAACTCTTAGAGGCGAATTTTAGAATTTAGCGACCTTAACGAAAAAACTACAGTAGATAGAGAATAAATATCGATGGCAAACGTGTATAGCGTCTCCAGTTTTCTGTGAAATAATACCCTACATACACCAATAATTTGAACAGAAGACCTTAAAGGCAGCTCCGTAGGTATCAGGTCAACAAGACATATACGTCATTAATCAGTAATACGAACTATGAATACGAATGTTACAACTAATTTTTAAGCATTGTCAATGTGTCCACTGGGTGCTTATAGTTTCAGTCCATCCGGAGAAGAAACTTGGCTAAGCCTAAGAAGCGGACGATCCCTGTATCTCATTTTAGGTAAGCCGAGACTAACGGTGCCTGTTCTGAAATAATAGAATTTGGAGTGAGTGAGTGCAGAGAGTGAGTGCAACACTTGTTAAGTTTAGTTCAAATAAAAAGGTTACTGCGGTATCTGTTCTTCAAAGACATAGCGAGAATTCGCTATGCAGTCTTTTTTAATTAGGGTCTATGGTGAATGCTCCCGAAAAGAACACGAAGACTCTACCAAGTATATTAATTTAGAAAAAAACTAATCTTAGCAAAAAATATTTTATTTGTATTTTAAGGATAACTTACCTGCCTTGACACACCCGGGAGTCAGGCACACGCCAACAGGCTTCGGTGGGGTTAGGGAATTATACAAAGTATACACTAACTTATCTGCGCTACCTGGAAGACTTAGCTCACTGTCTGTCCTACCTAGAAGGTAAAAGAAAATTATAATGAATATCTAAATTGGTATATACATATTCAATTATTTCATTTATTAATTATTTAGGGCATGATACTCCCTTAAGACGTAGCAAACTGTGGACTTCTGCAATAAACCCAATTAACATTTGCATTGCAATAACTTCCGAAACGTACTGAACTTAACTACAGTTACACCTACCTTAGGATAATTTCTTAAAAGTACTGAAGTTGGATTTTACGTTAATTAACAAATTAGACAAAGAAATAGCTCTGCCTAATTTTATGTTTTAAATTGGTGTGTTTTTCTTTTGTCTTAATTAACCAGTTATTGTGATTTGAAACTTTACTATAACTTCTTTTTTCCGTACTCCTCAATAGAAGTCAAATCGGTTCTAGAGTATTAAGCCGAGGGTTTGAATGCTTTGGAGTTAGAGCTTCTGGTAGCCTCGCTTGCTGGTCAGGTGCTATCGCCGCCATCTTTGCCAACGGTTATTTCGGCTTTAGTCATTTTCCCAGCCGACTTTAAAAGAGGGCCATAAATTCATAGAGTTAGCTTAATTAGACTATTTTGTGTGTTTCGAATTCAACTTTCAAATACAGTACAAGGGGAGATTTTAATATTTCAGAGCCTACATTACATAATCCATGAAATAAATAATTCGGTGCTATCTTTGAAAATCGTAAGCATAATCAGTAAGTCATAAGTGAAAGGATGCACCAGCACAATACGTCACTCATTAGATACTGTTTGTGCTCACTATTAATTTATTAATAATGCAAAACATGCAGAATATAGTGCATAAAGCACAACATATTAACTTCTTATTAGAATGAAATTTTGAATGATACTTCCCAAAGACTTTTAGAAGTCGTATTAATATAAATAGTACATAGCAAATATAGTAATTTCATACATAACAAAGTAATCGAATATGTAAAGCATAATATTATAAACAGAAATTGAAAAAAATAATAAATTCTAAAATTTCCGAATTCCAAAGATTAGTGTAAAAATAATAAATGTAGCAAGTTCCCATAATGCAGGTATAATATTCAACTGTATAAATAAGGAAGCAGGTCTAAAAAATAATAAATATTCTGTAAATAATTTATAATATTATTTACGAAAGAGTGTATAGTCGTTAGACATGGCATGGGTCGGTTCGGTGAACTGACATTAACTTTACGATAGCATTTAGTTTTTGATTTTTAATTATGTTGTTGAGTCATTAGGTTATTTTGAAGCAGGAATGTGAAAAATATGCTGTGCCTTCACCGGGACTCACACACGGACCTCTCGAATAGGCGCCGAGTGTGTTACCATTACAGCACAAAGGCATGCTGGAAAGAGGAACAGAATACCTTATAATGTATTGGGAGTTATGACCATAAGACCATAAGACCTGTTATGATCATAAGATCATAAGACCTGTTATGACCATAAGACCAAATTGTTTGGTTAGGTGGGTCGGGCTGCACCCTCTTCTGATACCTTATACATGTATTTGACATAAGAGTTTCAGTCACTTGATGGCTGTTTGAGACGAAAATTCGGTGTTGCATGTGAGTTTTCCTCAAGTGTAACATCTACTGCCAGCCGGCATGAATCGGTCCCTTCCCTAGGGCAGGTAGTTCTCGTGCTCTTTGCTGTAATATTAATAATCATAGATCCTTTTTTCTACATACGCTCGGCACTGAAGGAAATGGATTTCTTAAAAAGAAATAGAAAGGAAGTAGACCATGACCTGTTATAAACTAATTTGTGTAAGCTATGTATAATTAATAAAAATGCTCTCTAATTGTTTATTATAAAAGGGTCGATATGGAATGTGCAGAAGGCGAATAAATTGCAAAGAATCTTAGTCAGTCAGAGAACGCAAAAATAAAACATTATGAAATAGAAAATTAACACGAGTGATAAATAAGAATCCAAAATTCATGCTAATTGCGGTTTCTGTTTATCCGGGTTTGTGACGTCATCCAGTAACACCATTAATGCTGTAACATTGTAATGGGAGTTTCAATACATCAAGCAAAAACTGATTTATTTGACAGCAAGAACTGAAGTTGGATGGGAACGAGTTTCACCATATCTTAGACTCTGAGAAAAAGGTTTTTATAATTGGTTTTCTGGCTAATTCTTAGTTTGTGAATGTTCAGTCATATCGTTTTAGACCACACTAAACTCTGAAAATTATTTTCAGATTTCACTTATTTGAGATAATCCGCGAAATGCAAAATTCTAAGTATACTGTTGAAAAATGAAAAAGAGCGTAGAGAAGAGACTCCTCTAAGAACTTCTCTTGATGTGGTTTAATAGTAAGCATGTCAGAGATTGTGATGTCAAGCTGTTGTTGCCTTTTCGATTAATTTTAAGTTATGATGTAAATTTTAATGTCCGTATAGAAAATAACAGCATCACCATATAGAGACATTAGGTATTTTTGGAAGCAGGCAAGATGAAAAATTAGCAATGCCTTCGGCGGAAATCGAACCGCGGACCTCTCAATTACGCGCTGAGCGTACAGACCACTACACCACGAAGGCTCGCTAAGAAGGGGGGAGAAATACCTTATAACCAAAGCAGAAAGTATGTAAATATATATATCGCGTATTTAAGCTTGCTTTATTTATTTATTTATTTATTGGCTTTGTTTCTGTACTTGTTTATTTGAATTCGGTAAAATTCATGAGGGGTTTGGTAGTACCTCACATAATTCTCTTTCGTACAGTCCAGATTCACTATAGAATGCAATATAGGAATTACTGGTGCGAGTGGGGGGTAACTGAAATGAGTTTGGACAAATACGCATTTAAAAAATATTTATAAAGACATTTGTTTTATTAATTGTGTTTTATTTGTTGAAAAACCAAAATTAAAATTTTTGGAACCAGTTTATAGAGTTTAGTTTGCTTTAGTAGCATAAATTTATATCCAAACACCTAACAGATTTCTTGAGATATCACTGCGTCTGAAGATAACGACAGAGACTTGACAAGGTTACAAAATAACTTTTTTATTAAATCAGAACTTTGAACATAAAATGCATGCCTCGTACTTGACAAGATCAGCTAATCACTTGGAGCGATGTAATTCAAAATAACAGTAAATTTAGAACTTAAAATCAAGTCTAGTAGCCAAAGTTTACACAAATTGATTTAACGCTCAAAACATTCTGTCTGGCGTAACAATTTAAATATCGGCAACTCCAGTGCAAAGCCGAAGAATTATAATCTTACCAGAGCTATCAGAAACGAAATAACATAGCATCGAGAGGCAGAAACACACTGTGTCTTACTATCCGAAAATTTCACCTTGAATACGCTCAAACTGAATTTGCATTTTGGTAGGAAACGGAATGGAAAAGTGACAGTAAAGATCTAAATCATATTAAGTAATTAGATTAACAGAATGGAACTTTACGAGTTATTATTTTTTTATGGATTTAATTTCTTTTATGGATTTCACTAGCTACAAAACACATATGAAATCAGCCAACTAGGATTCGAATTTGGGTCAAACTACCAATATTCAGCAATTCTTTTCGTTCGGCCACTGATGGATGATTTAAGGACAAAAGTGAGGAGAAAATATTTTTCTTTTCTAGAAAGGATCTTTCATTGTTCTTTGAGGACATTATTATGCCATACCATCTACTTATAGTACAATATTTGGCAATGCATGAAATCATAAGCAAATCCAGACACTTGAACTTCTTTGTTACCATTTCTTGTAAATTTGCGTAATATAACAATTAATGCTATTGTTTTTATGCTCTGACCATCGGCTAATTTTCACAACTAGTTGATCTTTTCCACCGACAAACATGCAAAACTGAATGCTCATGAGTACAGAGCTGTCTATCCAACGGTGCAGGAGTATTTTCAATTAAAATTAAGACTTAATATAACCTAGCCGCGTTAGCACACTAATTGCAGACTTTAAGTACCTTTTCTTAACACTCTGAGTATCAGTGGTGACATTATCTATACCTGGTGCTCAGAGTTTGTGACCAACTTGTTGCGCAACAGTTGGTCCTTCCATACTTCAAGACGTCGCCCTGGACGGTATAGTATTTTGCAGATGGTGACCGCTAATTGGAATACCAGAGCTTGGGTTCATATCCACCACTTGACTATTTTTTTACATCCTGTTCTACCATGCGAGTGAAATTATTGGTTTGCACTTTATAATGGTGCATCTTGTGCAGCGGTCCTGATGATGAAATGGTTAAAAACGTATATCTTTTCAAACCATTTCCGACAAATGCTTAAAGAGAAATGTCTGGCCGTTTAGGATAAAATAAATGCTCAAATGCGAGACACTACTTCGGAATAAAATCATTGATACCAACAGATTTTTAATTATGCAGACATTGAAAATAGGAATATAAAAGTCTGAAAAGTTGCTACTGTGCATAACACAAAACTATTCTTTTCTTAAACAACGGTATTACTTTTTAAACAAAGTGCAGTAAATGAAAAGAGAACTTCGTAGAAAGAAGGTCGATTTTTTGTTTACAGACTCTTTGTGCCATTTAGCCCTTAATTACTCAATTAAAGATCCTAATTTAGACTATAATGGAAGCGTTTTCTATTATCATTCGTTGTCTTTATAAAAGCGCTTCTGTGAGAGAGCTTTATTATGTAATTGCTTTAATTGTGGGAATTTTTTACACTTCTTTTGTGCTGCTGACAGCGAAAAGGAAAAACAATAAAAGGATATGATGTAAAACCTTCCTTTTTGTTACAATGTAACGGAAAGATGAAACTGAAGTTGTTAAAGGGAAACGAAAAATTGTTCTCTTGGAATTGTTTTAAGAACTATTTTGCGTTTTTAATATTAATATTATTTTGCTAATTCACTACCTTATTTATTCTTTAATTTAAAAATGTTATTGAATTCTTAAACTTTATAAAAATTAAAGGACAATTTTGTCTCTGAAAATGTTCAAAGCAACTTAAAAAAATATTAAAATTCTGGACAGCAATAATGATGCCAGTCGCGAAATCCAAATAAATTATTTCAAATGCAAAAATTACAACAGAGTATAATAATTTTGGAATAAAAATTTCGGTAAATACATTTGAAATCTATTGCTGTTCTTTTGAACAAATTTTTAATAAAATCACCGTCCTATAAATTTTGACTTATCTCGGCAAATAATAGCATCACCATATAGAGACATTAGTTATTTTTGGAAGCAGGCAAGCTGAAAAATTAGCAACGCCTTCGGGGGAATCAAACCGCGGACCTCTCAAATACGCTTAAAATAAATTTCTTATGGAAACTTTCTTTGCATTGACTTTATTTAGGTAAATATATGCTTCATCAAGAATTAAAATGTATTTTCATTTATCTTCAACTAAATATTTTTCATGCGAGGTTTTCAAAATTGTTCTGAGCCACATGACTTGGGAAAAGCTGGTGAAGATTGTTTTTTAGTTTTTTTAAAGTTATAAATGATTTATTATTTTATTTATTGCTACAATAAATGTATTTAAAGACTTTGGATCTTCTGTGTCGGCGGATATTCTCTTGAAACCAACCATCTAACTTTCGAAACAGTACGTAACCATTTCGGGTATTCGTTTGGATCTACTTTTCATGCAGAAGTAAAGATTAATAGTGTTTGTCTTTCCGATTATTTTTCACATACAATTTTAATAAAATGTATTTCTTAACGTACTTGCGTTACAGAATAGGAATATTTCTCTTTGAAAAGGGCAAAAGCATATCCTTTAGTCTACAGCGTATTTTATAGGTGACGTTGAGAAAGAAAAATAAATTTAAAAATAGCAGATGATATGTATCATTTCAAAAAATCATCTGTTGTCAAGATTTTTTATTCCAAAACATTTGCTTTTTTTAAATCCTTTATCGAAATCGTTCTGAAAATTTGTAAACACCCTGCGGACATCGATATCAGTAGGGACAGCAATATAATAAATTTACTCCTGGTTACTTCTCAAGAAGTTATCGTATTTCCCTATGTGTGATCTCATAAGTGATTAGCATCTACAGCTAAAAATCTGTGATTCCATTCCCGGATATGTAACGGTTGACTTTTAATGTTTTGAAAACAGTAGTATCTCTAGTAACACGCTACTTAAGATATGGTGAATAGTAAATGATATGAACTGAATATAAATTGAGACGATTGCTTCTTATACTCCTTCCATAGTCTCCTTTTAGTGGAGAAAAATGTAAAAAACTGTTGAATTTTCCCGTGCGTGCTTTTGTGATGTGAGTGGTTAACACATTCATCTAGCAATTTTAAGAACCGTGGTTCAAATTGTGTTTGGGGGTATATTTTTTTCTTCGTTTTTACTCTTCCGGCTTCAAAAATTCTAATGTTCATTATAGCTGCAAACAGAACAGGAAGTAAGAGGTAACTTTATTACATTACAAAATAACTGTACACAGACCAGATCAATAAATAAGTGCATTACCTAATCTCATAGTCTGGTAGTGATATCCAACGATGGCCAGGGCGACGGCCATTGCTGTACACATTATTAGGCAAATTCCCGCTACTCCACATAATATCCTTTCTAATCGTGAACGTCTGTTCCACCATGGGGGATTCCTGGAATGAAAGAAATACATATTACTCAAAAGGAAAAGTACTGATCTTAATTTCAAGTAAAAAACATGATTAATAAGAACAGCTAAAAATGTTATTTTAGGTGAAGTGTGTAGAGACATTAGGTATATTTTTGGAAGCAGGTAAGATGAAAAATTAGCAACGCCTTCGCCGGAATGGAACCACGGACCTCGAATACGCGCCCAGCGTGCAGACCACCACACCACGAAGGCACGCCAGGAAAGTGGGAGAAGTACCTTATAAGTGTATAAGAAAAATTAATGTACGAAGTTATTTCCTGAACAACGCTTATGCCCGTCTTTAAGAAATGAATGATAGTGACACCCTTGAGCCCAGATAGCGTTGGTTGATGAAAATTTTATTTAATTCTTTCATTTAGTTGCAGTTGAAAACGGTTATAGTATTGAATTTCTGACAGTGCTTCTTATAAAATAAAAATACATCCAATCATCGTTATGTTTTTTACACTCAGTTTTACTTCTCGAGTGAATATTTCCTATAGTTGGTAATCGTGTCCCCGTAGCGTACAAAAAAAAAAAAAAAAAATGTAAACGCGATTAAAAAAAAATGATTGTGTAAGTATTCTTTGCATAAAAACAAGAAAAACGGGGAAATGTCTACAACTTAAAAACTTCTTAATCTTAATTACTGGTGTATTGCAATTCCAGCTTTCGGCAGTTTTTCATTAGAGCCATACCGCGTATTTTGTGGGCATATTTTGGCTTATTTATTTTTTCAGGTTTCTAGCTCGATAGTAGACTTTCCTTTCTCCAAAATGTTTTATCTTTTCAACTTTTTTCAGTTTTTTCATGAATATTTGTTACTAATTTAATTTATTTTACTTTCTCCGAAAACTTTGTTTAAAAAATCTGATGTGGACACTACATGACTTCCTTGTACGGCCTATCAATCTATCACCTATTTTGCTGAACGTTATTTATATTTATTTCCTCGAATTCCATTAGAGATACAGTTCTCATTCAAGCAATTCAGTTCCATTTCACGGCAAGGCAAAAATATATGAAAACTTAAAATATCTTCATTAAAAATTGCAAAACACAGAGAAAAACTGAAACGCTAAATACAATTAAAACCAGTGGAAAAAACAATTTTTGTAATTAAAATTAGTTTCTAGGCCAAAACAAGCCATTCGGACAACATGCAGAAAGATAAAATTTAGGTGCACAAAAAGTTTCAGGTAGCTATGGTTTCACTGGGTAAGAACACGATTCAGTCGGTGAACCAGCTGACTTAATTCACTATACCAAACATTCAAATGTAAACAAATAGCCGACACGTTAAACCACGCTACACTTACATTTTTAAATTGCTGATAATTCCACAACATAATTCAATCACTTTCAAAGTAAAAAAAATGCAAAATTTACCAACATATAAAAGCAAAAAATGCAAAATATACCAAAAGAATGAAAAAACAAAGCTCATCGAGCCGGGTAACAAGATGGATACATACTATATATATATGTTTAGTGTGGTCGATTGCAACAAAAAATGGAGGTACACAACTAGATGTTATAGCAGTTCCATATACAAAATGTTAACGTTCTACGGCTAATCTTGCTTTAGTTTTGCGAGATTACATACACCCGTATTTACGTTCAGGAGTCACGAAAAAATCTCTTCTGAGTCCATTTTAAATCCATTTTATAATTCGTTTTGAAAAAAGGAATCCTTTTTTTTTGTCCGTACCCACAAATGTCAAGCAGTAAATCGTTCAGATGGATTAAAGAGCGGTCTAAGTGGATATTTTCGTTGAAATATGATACGGAAATGTTTTGCGATTGCGATACTTCCTTTACTTTGTAAAAATAAAGGAAGTAAAAAAGGGGCAGGAAAAACTACAAGTCCATATTTATTTTTTCTTAAAAGAACTTGATAAAATATGCAAAACTGAAGCAAAAAGTAATAGGAATTAATAAATATTATGCTAAAAGAAATAATAACAACAAAAAATAAACAACTAACATAAAAATGGCATAACATTTCTCCCTTAGAATGCATGCATCGCCACATGAGTTCAAATAAATTAGCGTCCAAATGTTAGCGGGTAATGCCACTTTGACGCTTATTGCATCATTTTGTGCTATACCACGAGAGCTCAAGAGATTAGGTATGAAATCAAATGTCTGGATCAAGGAAATGATGAACCGTAGTTGCACGAGCGGTGATTATAAAATCAGTTATCACCAGTAAAGAAGCTAAAAAAAGGGAAGTATCTGGCGCCGTGCAGATATGCCAAAATAAAATAAAAAGAAGACCCAGCTTATTTTGAACCCATATCCCCAAGCCGAGAAAAACAGCCGAGATTTCAATGGATAATTCGGAAAGCTACTATGGAGGCTATCGTTAAATAAGATTCAAAGTTCCAGCTGCAGTGTATCTTGAAATAGGATCCGTAGTATTAGAGAAACTGTCTGTACACTGCAGGGGCAGGAGAATCCTCCACAAAGGCATTCCCTCCCCATAGGCAGATAGCCATAGAGTTGCTTTGCACTAATCAGTTAACCTAACTTTACCTTGTTAATGCTAGGTTTTATTATGGTTTTTTTAAATGCACAAAAATAATCAATTATTGTTCAAACATTGAAGTAACATGATTCAAAACATTAAAGCAAAAATCAGAACACATTTCAAAGAATTAAAATAACGTACTTAAAATCAGATACAAGTTAAATAATTAATTAAAATATTCTCATTTAATAAGAGTTAAATCCTTTGTGAATGCAATTCAAGTGATGTAAAAACGTCATGCGAATTTGGAAGAAAAAGTTTGTGTATCAGGTTTCTTGATCTCTGATTATTGCTAATTATTTTTTGTTCACATGATCCATTTTTTAATTAATGAAATTATTGTTAAATTTTAATAAAATTATTGTTGAATTTCAATAAAATTATTTGCGCTCGTTGTATAGCATAAAATGATGCAATAAGCGTCAAAGTGTCACTACCCGCTAACACTTGGACGATAATTTAATTGAACTCATATGGCGATGCATGCATTCTAAGGGAGAAATGTTATGCTATTTTTATGTTAGTTGTTTATTTTATGTTGTTGTTATTCCTTTTAGCATAATATTTATTATTCCTTTTAGCGTAATATGTATTAAAAATATTGAAAGTATGGCGATTAAACTAAAAATCTGATGCGTAAACCACATGACTTCCTTGTAATTAATATTAAATTATACGCATTTTTTCCTGCACTTCATTTAAACTTATTTCTCGAATTTCATTAGAGATATATTTCTCATTCAATTAATTCAGTTCTCACTTCGCGACAAGGCAAAAATGCATAAAAACTCAAAATATCTATATTAAAAATTGAAAGATATAGAAAAACATAAAACACCAAATACAGTTAAAATAATAAAAAAAAACAACCTTTACAGTTAAGATTACAGTTTCTACGCAAAAACAAGCAAATCGGCCATGGGGGCAAGAAGGCAGATTTTTCGATGCACAAATCCGAAAGTTTACTTTTAATCTCACTCCGCAAAAAGAACTGATGGCGTAGAAAGACTTAATTTGTTGTGGACGCTATGCTGATTCAATATATGGGATAATTTAATAACTTAAATGATAATTTCAGGATGTATTAGGCATGATTTAATATTCGCAATAATAAAAGAAGACGTTACTTTGTTGTTGCGAAGCTTACTTTCTCTAGATTGGCAACAAATCGACTATTCCGCTAAGTTTCAAATGTAAGTAAATACGGCTGCTATGGTGAAAAAATTAGGCTTAGCCGCACTTAAACAACTTTTAAATTGTTGATAATTCCACAACTATAACATGCATGTTAATTAAAGATATAAAACCTCCGTAACCGGAAAATAAGAACAACATAATTCAATCATTTTTAAAGCAAAAAACGCAAAATTTACCAACATATAAGAATAAAAACTAAGCCCCGGAGCCGAGTAACAGAGTGGGTATATATATATATATATATATATACTTTTGTTGCGCCCTATCACCACCGAAAAGGGAGGTGCACAACTACATGGTATAGCAGTCCTGTATACAAAATGTCAACTTTCAGAGTTTATTCGTTTTTAAGCTATGTGAGATACCTACGTACGTACATATAGACGCCACGAAAAAAATCTCTTTTGAATCCATTTTAATTCAGCTTTATAATTCGTTTGGGGAAAAAGAGTCCTTTATTCTGCCCTTACATACAGATGTCACGCAAAAACATCGTTAAAATGAATTCGAGAGAGGTCAAAATGGATATTTTCGTTGAAATATGGTACCCGGAATTTTTCGCGATTACAAATACTTCCTTTACTTCTTACAAGCAAGTAAAAATGAACATCGAGTTCAAAACAAAACAACTATGAAAAATGTAAATTTTATGCTTAAAAAAATTACAAAAATATTCAATTATTGGTTAAACATTAAAGTAAGTATTTAAAATCATAATATTATTCAGGCACATATCACACAGAATACAATTCAAAAATTAAAGTAAACATCAGAGCACATTTGAAAACACTAAAGTAACTTATTAAAAATCAGATATAATTTAAATAATCTATTAAAGCATTCTAATTTAACAAGGCAAGGTAAATCCTTTGTGAATGCAATTTAGAATAATAATGTAAAAATGTCGTGCAAATTTGAAAGTAAATGCTTGTGTGTCATATTTCTTGATCTTAGATTATTAGTAATTATATTTTATTCGCGTGCTCCATTTTTTAATTAATAAAGTTATCGAAAAAATGTGTGGAGATTAAACACAAAATGAATATCGAGTTCAAAAACAAAACAAATATAAATAATTTACCATTCCATGTTTAAGAAATAATAAAGGTCGTGTTATACTAAACCCTTTCGATTTCAAACATTCAAATAAAACTTTTTCTCATATGTGATAAAAAAAAGTGAATTATTTAATCAAAATTAGAAAACAGTACTTCGTTGCCCATTAAACGTTGTTTAATGATCACGTCAGCACA